CTTTCACGGATTAAAGCCGCAGATTTCCGGCGATTTCGGGCGCTGTGCGAGGCGGAGCCGACGGTGCCAGTTTTGATCGATCACTTTGGCTTCACGAAGGGCATCGAGGACGAGGGGTTCGAGGATCTGTTAGCCCTAGGGCGAGACTTGAGCAGATACATGTCAAGTGCTCGGCGCACTTTCGAGTGCGAGTGGCGACAGAGGACGGATCGGATTCCACCGAGCGACAGTTGAGGCGATTGATTGAGACGTTTGGGCGAGAGCGCATCGTGTGGGGATCGGATTATCCGTTCGTGACCATGGAGGACGGCGGGTACGCTGGCGCTGTCGGATTATTGGAGTCTCAGCTCGCCGCCGATCCTGAGTTGATCGATATGATCCGCGGAGAGAATTTCATGCGTCTGTTTCCAGGTGCGGTTGAGGCGTAGGCGTTTTTATTTTGCGTGTTGTTTAATTCTTAAAGATACAGTTCTAGCTCAGCATTGCACTATCCACATCCACCTCCGCCGCCCCCGCGCGGAAGTTCGTCTTCGTAATCACCGCGCGCCCATTTCTTAAAATCTTCAAACATCTCCTTCGGCTTGTTGGGAATGCTTTCAATTGCGTTGAAAATGTCCAGCAGATCCTGGTTCGGGTCTTCCATTCCTTGCTTTGTTGGGATCCCTCGAATCGGTGCCAGACGCTTACGGACCGCGTTCATCGTCGCACCGATGAGCTTCTTCTCAGACATCCGCAGTTTCGCTGCTTCGATCTCTCGCACGGGCATTTGGTCCGAGAGCTTCAACAGGTTGAGCTCGTCCTCCTCGTTCGTGTCGTACTCCGCCATCAACTCCCTGCAGTCGCCCATGAGAATCTGTAGGATTTCGTACTCGTTCATCACCGAAACTATCTTATCCTCCTCGAAGGAGACTGCCATCATCTCGCCCGGATCTTGGACGCGAGAGAAGCGAAGGTAAGAGTACAGCTGCGTCGGCATTCGATCCTTGTACACCGGGAAGTACTGATCCGCTGCGGTGAATCCCATGCCCTCCAACACTTGCTTCTTCGCCGTGAACAGTCGATCGGAGGTTTGGATGTCTGTTTTCATGTAAATGTAGTCCCCGGGATGCTTCTGATCGACGTAACCGGTGTTTAGGAAGAGTTCGCCGTTGTTTCTCTGCAAGGCATCGAGCTGAATGACCTCGGAGTTTGCCGCCGCCTTAGTGGCGCATCGGAGGACTACGCTCGCAGTGTCAACGTCGTAATCCGCCGGTCCGCATCGAACCACGCCGTCCGAAGCCGAGGGAGGAAGGACACCCGGTACGGGAGCCCCACCTATACTGATGACGTCCAACAACGGCACTAGGGCGTAGCATTGCGCCGTCGGTAACCACGTCGCCTTGGCACAAACGGTCGCCAGGGCATCCACGAAGCGCGCCTCCGTCAGGAACTCGTACGCCTCAGGAGGATATGAGCTTGGATCGCTCTTGATCACCTCCGTGATAGACGCATACTCAGTTCTCGCACTCTTCGATCGCTCGATCGCGTCCGCGGCGACGGGTGACCCCTTCAACAACGCGAAATCCTTCGCGTCGGTCCAAAACAGCGGTGCGTCTGGATTCGCCCGCAAAGTCTTCACGTATGGCGCCCACTCGCTCGCCCCTCCCTTAATCCGCTCCGCGCACAGCCATAGCGCCAGACCGATCAATTCTGGTCGTCCACTCGCTAATTCACTCACAATCGGATGCTCACCGACGTCAACACTCGTCACCGCGGCGCTCTGCGGGACGCGAAGCGCCGTCGCGCCCGCCTCGGCATCCGCCTTGAGGATCACCCTCACCCCGCCCTTCGCGTCCTCCTTGAACGCCAGCGCGCTCGCGTCGACACCCTTATCGTACGATAACCACGCCGCGAGCTCTCTCGCGTCTTCCACGGCCACGACGGCGTTCGCATCGGCGACGGCGCGCGCTCGAATCGTCCGCGACCGGGACGACGGCGAGCGATTCTGCGTCGCGGGCGAACGTTTCGCGCCCTTCAGCGTCGTCTGAGACCCTCTCGCGACGCGCGACATCGCGTACGAGGGCGACGTCGTGGTCGGAAGCGCTCGAGAGAGGTCCGGACGCGGATGTGTGCGGGGAGACAAAGGGAGGGAGGATGAGACATCAAAGCTGCCTCCTCAAGCCTATCCGCGGCGAAAGGAGCGTAGGCGAGCGTTTGCAGTTTAAGGAAAGAGTAGATACAATTTCAGAACGAATCTCCAAAAGGACGTGAGGGAGGTGGCGTTCACACGCGCTGTCAGAGAAATCTTGCGGTCAACGTTCATAGGTGAAGACCATCAAACACTCCTCTCCGAAGCCGCATCAGCGAGGAATCGCTTAGTAGAAGCCGAAGCCCTTGGCCGCGTTGGTGAGGACGTTGGAGTGAACCGGGTCCGCAACGTGGGATTGCCAGTTGGCGATCGGGCCTTCTTGGGTGGCGAGCGCTTGGAAGATGCAGCCCAACCACGCGAACATGGAGAGGCGGCAGTGCTTGAGCTCCTTGATCTTGAGCTCTTCGAGGTCACCAGACTCGGCGAGGCCGAGCGGGTCGAAGCGTCCACCCGGGTTGACGTCACCGACGGTGAGGCCATCATCGAACGGAGAGTCAGAGATACCGGTACGGTACGCTTCCGCGGCGCCAACGAGAACGATCTCGATGATGAGCACGTTCCAGAAGGACGGGTAGCCGGAGCCTTCCGGGGCGAGCGGGGCGACGGCGCCCGGGAACTTGTCGGCGACGGCCGTGCAGTCATCCGGGGTGCACAAGGTACCCGCGGTGAACCACGGGATGCCAGTGCCGTTTTCGGCGGCCCAGGCACCGGTGACACCGAGCATCGCCCAGCGGCCGTGGATCACTTCACGCTCGGCGTTCTTTTCGGAGCCGAACGGGATGATCGGGGACTCGCCACCGCCCGGGTAGGTGCCGAATTCCGGGTAGATGTCAGCCTTGACCGTCGTGGAGACGGACTTGGCCTGCGAACGCGAACGAAAAACAAAAATCGTCAGTCTCACGCTTCAATATAATCGGATTACTCCCCGAATGCCATCCTAATCGTCCCACTAGACAGACATTAAACTCCAACCAAACCAAAAAGCTCTCCAACTCAACGATTTTTTTCACGCGAGCGCTCGCGTGGACGATCGCGCGCGCCTCCATCGCCGCCACCGCCGCCACGCGGACGGGACGCGCACGAAACGCGTCGGAAAAATATCTTCGAGGTCTCCCACCGAACCTCGTCCCGAGAGCGCCCTTGAGCGATCGTCGACGACGCGACGCCCGCGCGCGCGTATCTCCACCCGCGTGGATATCACGAATCGCGTCGGCGTTCCTCTCAAGCGCGAACACGACGCCGACACCGCTCGAGCGAGCCAATCGAATAAATACGTACTTGGACCTTTTGCGCCTTGAAGGCGGCGACGCGGCCGACGAAGGAGGAAGCGAGAAGAGCAGACATTGTCTCGTGTGCAGGAATGCGGAGCGGAGCGCAGTCGCGGGTGCGCCCGATGGATCGCCCGGGGTGACGCCACCATCGTAGTGTGCGCATAGAACACGTGGATGGTATGTAAACAAAAAAAACGCGGATCACCGTCCCGGGTGTGTCACTGAAATCGACGAGTCGTGAGTCTGGCATGGACGATCGATATCGACCGCCCGTTTCATCCACGGATGAGATCGCGTCGAGATCGTGTACTGTATATGAGATCTCCCTATGTGTTGGTGTTGGTCGATGAATGCAAGCCGCGATCGCGACACCGCGCGCGCGGGCGCTGCGCTCCGCATTCCTGCACACGAGACAATGTCTGCTCTTCTCGCTTCCTCCTTCGTCGGCCGCGTCGCCGCCTTCAAGGCGCAAAAGGTCCAAGTACGTATTTAATTCATTCGACCCACGGTGACGCGCGATGCGAGCGCGCACGACGGGCGAGAGCGGATCGATGAGCGAGCGTCCAATACGTTCGATCGCATTCCGCGCGATCGCTTCGTCGTCGTCGTGAACGGGCTCATGAACGCTCGTGCGGCACTGAATGTTGGGAATCGATCCGTGGGTAATTCTCCGAGGGATTCTCCGTCAGTTTACCGCACGTCGCGACGGTCCAGAGCGTAGGCGGCGACGAGCGCGTTCGCGGACGGAGATACGATGCGGTCCCTTATCAATGGTGGATCTGGAAAGATCTTGGTCGCTCGACGAGAGGGACTCGACATGGGTCATGACTGGAGAAACCTGCATGCAAATCGGTTGGAGCAGAGACAAGTGGAGAGTGGGAGAGAGACATCAGTGAACACGTGACTGACGATTTTTGTTTTTCGTTCGCGTTCGCAGGCCAAGTCCGTCTCCACGACGGTCAAGGCTGACATCTACCCGGAATTCGGCACCTACCCGGGCGGTGGCGAGTCCCCGATCATCCCGTTCGGCTCCGAAAAGAACGCCGAGCGTGAAGTGATCCACGGCCGCTGGGCGATGCTCGGTGTCACCGGTGCCTGGGCCGCCGAAAACGGCACTGGCATCCCGTGGTTCACCGCGGGTACCTTGTGCACCCCGGATGACTGCACGGCCGTCGCCGACAAGTTCCCGGGCGCCGTCGCCCCGCTCGCCCCGGAAGGCTCCGGCTACCCGTCCTTCTGGAACGTGCTCATCATCGAGATCGTTCTCGTTGGCGCCGCGGAAGCGTACCGTACCGGTATCTCTGACTCTCCGTTCGATGATGGCCTCACCGTCGGTGACGTCAACCCGGGTGGACGCTTCGACCCGCTCGGCCTCGCCGAGTCTGGTGACCTCGAAGAGCTCAAGATCAAGGAGCTCAAGCACTGCCGCCTCTCCATGTTCGCGTGGTTGGGCTGCATCTTCCAAGCGCTCGCCACCCAAGAAGGCCCGATCGCCAACTGGCAATCCCACGTTGCGGACCCGGTTCACTCCAACGTCCTCACCAACGCGGCCAAGGGCTTCGGCTTCTACTAAGCGGTTTTTCGTCGTGACGTCGCTTGCGGCGTTGCCTTAGATTAACCTTAGCAGATCGAAAGCATATCATTTTAATAAAAACGATTTCCGAATCAACAATAACGACTCACGTCATCGAGCTTTGCTTTATTTTACGTTTTCTGCTCGATCGATAGCTAACTGCGGGTGTGGCCTCAAGCCAGTTTCCTATGTTCAAACCGCCTCGCGCATCGTTGAGCGTCACAAAACTGCACCGTCGACGCGTCCTCGCCCGAACTCGATCCGAGCGTCGGGGGCGGTAACGCTGGATGTCTCACGTCCACTCCCCCCGCTCGACGTCCCGTCGCGGCGACGCCCTCTTCGCCCTGACGCGTCGATACGTCGTCGTCTACGTCCTCGGGACGTTTGGTGATTGGATTCAGGGCGCCTACCTCTACGCCGCCTATCGAAGGCACGGTCTGTCGAAGCGAACGATAAGTGGGGTGTATGTCTTAGGATATGGCGTCTCCGCGACACTGGGGACGGCGCTGGCGAGCGTCGGCGACAGGAGGGGACACAGGGTGATGGTGATGGCGTACGGGACGATGTACGCAGCGTCGTGCGCGCTGATGCGGTCGAACGCGATGTGGGCGGTGTTAACGAGTCGGATATTGGGAGGTATGAGTTATAGCGTGTTGTTTTCAAACTTTGAGTCGTGGGTGATCACGGAGGCGGACGAGAAGGGGATCGAGAGACGTCGTTTGGCGAGACTGTTTAGTGTGGCGACCTTCTTCAACGCTGCTAGCGCAGTGGCGGCAGGATTGGTCGCGAACGCCGTGGTCGAGCTCACAGATACGAGACGACTGTCGTGGATCGGGATGGACGATACGAGGTCGAAGTTAGAGCAGGAGGTGGACTTCGGGGAGAGCACTTTGGCGTCGTCAAGGAATGTGTACTCTCCGGCGTTTGACGTGGGGGTGGTATCGCTCTTACTGTGCGCAGCGGGAGCTAAGCATCTGTGGCCAAAGTACGACTCAAGTGCCTCAAATCCCTCTCTCAGCCCGTCGATTTCGTCGAAGGAAACGGAGGGATCGAGCATACAGCGCGCCGTGCAGGTTATTTTAGCATCGCACGATTTGTTGCGGCTTGGCTTTGCCAACTCCCTCTATGAGGCCGCGCTTCATCTCTTCGTCTTCGTCTGGACGCCCATATTAGAGCAACGTTCCGGAGAGGGGGTTCAGGTACCGCACGGCATGATTTTTAGTGGGTTCATGGTGTGCAAAATGTTTGGCAGCCAGGTGTTCCACATACTCGAATCGAGGTTGCTTCCGGAGAGGTTGCTCCGCATTGTCCTCGCCTGTTCCGCAGTAGCTTTCTGTTCAGCCGTAGTATTCACGCATTACTGGTTCACTCTAGGGGTATTCTGCGTTTTTGAGTTTGGGTTGGGTATTTACTGGCCCGTCATGGCTGTGTTACGGGCGAAGTACGTTCCTAACAAGATGCGGGCGACGATGACGAGTGCGTTCCGGATTCCGCTCAACATACTGGTCATCGGGCTTTTGCTCATCGCCAGTCGAGCCAGCGATACGGTTCTGCTGATGACTTGCGGTATGATAATGGTATCGAGTTACATATCATTCGGGACGCAGGAAGCACACATCGCCGCACCGGCGGTGGACGATATAGTCCCGCCCGCAGATCAGCACATCATTTAGCTCGTGCAGGAGTCCACGATCAAACAAAGTTGTGGCTAGAAATTGTAATTGTTGTATTCATAAATAATGATTGATACTCACGCTTCGGGCTCGGGCTGAGAGCAGATGGAGGCACCGACTTGCGTCGCCTTGGCCCGCTTGCTCTCACCCAGTTGGGAGGTCATGCACTCTACGCTGAGCACGCGCTTTATCGTGTTGTCACTCTTCGGAGCCGGAACGGATCCGCCAAACTCGGCGAGTTCAATGTACTGCTTGTTCGTCACCGCGAACGCGCTTCCTCTAATCCGACCCGCAGCGTGAAGTTCCAATTCGTCGTCAACGAATCGAATGTCCAAGGTGCGCTGGTGCGTGTACAAGCCAGCATCTTGCATCGGCAAAACCCACGCAACATCGTCGCTCTCATTGTGGTGCGAGTGCCACCAGCCCGGAGGAGTGACGAAGACGCCGCCCTCGATCCAATCGCATCGAATGGGATCGATAATAAAGCCTTGGCTATCTATTTCCTTACCCATGAGGGTGTAAACGCCGGGCTTCGCGGCGACTGCAAGGTCGAGTGCGACAGAGTTGTGACGATGCGGTCGTTGCACGGTCTTTGCTGGGATGGAGTTCAAGAGCGACCACAGGACGTGAGTCAGCGTCTTCGTCTGAGAGCACGCCGAGTTGCCGAGCAATACACCGCATCGGTTGTTGCTCGCACCACTGTCGTGCTTAATTTCCTCGACCCGCTCCAGCATTTGCTCTCTGCGGTACAGCGTCGGTTCAAACTTCTTCTCGTCCGCGGGGCTCACGCCAAGGTATTGCATGAGCGGCTCATCATGCACCCAATACAGCGCCGCCCCGCCTTTCGCCTCCGCATCAATACACGCGTGCGTCACGCCACCCTTCGTCACCGGTAGCACGAACATGTCTCCCGTGGACCACGAAATCTTCCCGTGCTCGCTCTCGCTCTCGCCCGAGCCGCGAATGACGTAAAACGCCTGGGACGTCGCCTTCGCGCTCGTCTCGATTGACTCACCCTTCACGATGCGCACGAAGGACGCCATCAGGTTCGGTGACGTGCATGACTCCGTGATGTCTAAGAAATCGTTGATATCGAACGGAATCACTCGAGTCTCGCCGCTCTCGTGCAGATCCGCTGGGTGGACCAGAACCGGGATGGGTCTCATGTCCGGGTTAGCCGCGCTCCCGTACTCAAAAATTTCCGCCGTCTCGCGCCATTTCTTTTCCGTCGCGTCATCCTCCCTCTTCGACGCCGTCTCGGGCTTGGCGACGTCGCTAGGGACGGTCACGAGCGCCTCGGTTGCCATCTTGTTTGTTGCTCTTGAAAACGCGTGAGACACCGATGCACGCGTTCGTTCGTCGCGTGGGCGCGTGCGCTCGACGGATGGACGCGGGAACGGTGAGTGGAACCGCGGGCGTTCGTGGGCGAGCGTGTGAGTGCACGAGCGCGACGGTCTGTGCGGGCGTGTCGACGTCGGCGGGGCGGCGGTTCGAGGGGGGTGAGATAGGGGGGGTATCCACGAGTCGTGACTCATGGAATTGGAAATTTTGAAGAAACCTGGCGCAGGGACGCCCGGGAGGGAGAGCGCGAGTGAGGGTCATGGACGATTCAAACGGGGGTTCGGGGGATGAAACGGTGATTTTCGGCGAGACGGACGAGCTAGCGATGGTTTGAGTGAGTGTGGATACGACGAAACGTGAGACGATTGTCTTACACGCGTTTGTCGTGCTGACGGTTTCTATGAGCTACGGGAGCGAACTAGGAGCCGCTTAGGCGACAGCCTTGTTCAGGATGACGCCCTCGAACGTTTGTTGGAACCATCTCATCGCATCAGCCTTGGTAAGCTTGTGTTGCTTACCGATCTTCTTTTGTTGCTTACGCCGGCGGTGGACTCGGTAGCCCGGGCGCTCCAACACGACGTAGAAATCCATACCGTAGATCCCTGTGGACGGGTCGTACTTGATGCCGAGGTCAATGTGTTCGCTGATACCGAAACCGAAGTTACCCGTGGCGCTGAAGTTGCGCTTGAGGAGTTCGAATTCCTTCACCTTGAGCCCGCTCTCCAAAATTTGCATCGCCTTGTCCCGGTTACCAATGGTGACGTGCGCGGAGATCTTTTCGTTACGGCGAATGCCGAACGTGCGCACGGTGTAGCGCGCCTTGGAGAAGATCGGTTGCTGACCGGTCAATTGCTCCAACACCTTCGCCGCCTTCGTGAGGCGATCACCGCTCTCGCCAACGCAAATGTTGAGCACGAGCTTGTGAATGCGGATCGCCCGCATCGGGTTCTCAGACTTGTCCCCAGCCTGCACGAGCACGAGATCGATCATCGTCAGTCAATCCATTCGTGCGTTCTCGATCAAGCGTCGACCCAAACGCAGAAGCGATCGATCGAGAGGAAACATTCACATTGTTCGTTCCCGATCGCCTCTCACACAAACAGACCGTCGCGCGCGTCGACGCCGAAGGAAAACGATGCCGTCGTAGGGTTTTCCACGCTCTCGGACGGCGCCCGCGCGCTCGCTCTCGACGCGCGCACGATCGCGCTCGGCCCCGCGCATCGAACGGAGCCGAACGCATCATCTGCGTACTATCGCATCGCGTCGTTCGCACACGCACCATTGTCTACGTTTCCTCGAAGCGCGACTCGAAAAGGCGGATGCGGACGTCGCGGCGACGCGCAGGTTCGAGCTCGCGACGAAAACCAATCACCGCACGACTTTGATCGAGTCTGTTTGATTTCTTTGATTCGTGACTCATACGTTGATTCATAACTCGAAAGGGAGTCTCTCATCGCCGCACCTCGGGCATCGGACAATCGGCCGACCGAGAGGCCTTCTTCGCTGGCACGATGCCCCAGGGGAACGATGAAGCACAAAAATTGCTTCATATCGAATTAAACTCACCTTGTATACGGAGCTCCAAGAAAAAAGAAGCCCTGGGAAAACGCCGCGTGCTGAGTCATCAATACACAATCTCGCGCGTCGATCTGGTCTTTTTGATGAGTGATGACTCGCAACAAGAGTCTCTCAGGGCGGGAAAGTGGCCCCGTGACGCGGCACGAAAAGCGCACCGCGTCACTTCACGCCGCGCGTCGACCTTCACGTCCACGCTCTCCACGCTCACTCCGTAAGCAAAACACACAACTCTACTCTCTCAAAATGAACGACGCCACCATGTCTATGTCCGGACGCGTACGTCGTTCGAACGAACGCGCACGTGAGCGATCGCGATCGTGCGAGAATTCCGAGAATTGGGGTTGCCCTCAGACACGTCAGCAACTGACCACCTTGTCTTTCCCTTAACGTAGATCGTCGTCAGCGGCAACGGTTCCGCCGCGGAAGATTCTTTCAAGATCTCCGCCTCCGCGCCGATCTGCGGCGGCTCGGGCTCGGTGAGCCTGTGCGCCAAGCCGAACTACCGCCCGAGGTGCGATCGATGATCATTCGCGCGCGCAACCCCTCGAGGTCGACGCTTTTTTAATCGTTCACCGGTCTACGAGCGATCGCTTCATCATTCACGTTGAACGATGAACGAATTTGATGGGAATAATAGTTTTACAAACGACGCGCGCGTTCTCGATGCTCAATCGTCATCGACGCTCGAGGGGGAAGAAGAAAACTAACCGATGGCGACATGGAACAATCGCAGCATCTCCTCCAAGGGTGGGGTCTCGCACAACATCACGGCGGATGACCTCGTGGGTTTGTCTAACATGTCCGACTACGACATCTCCGTCAACAAGTCTGCGACGATCGCGGGCCAAGACTGCAACGTTAATCTCGGCATGAGCAACATCAAGACGGTACGGTTGAAAGCGCGATCTAGCTAGCACGGGGAGTCAAGTCAGCGCGCGCCCGCATGGCTCGGGACAAAAAAAATTTCAAAAATCAATGATACTGACGACAAATCGCGATTTTCATCTCACAGGGCCAAGCCGGTTCGCTTCAAATCAACACCAACGTCGAGGCCGTCGGCGATGTCACCGTGACGCTCGCGCAAAAGGGCTCCAAGGTTGGCGGTGACAAGCAAGACGCCGACCGCGCGTCTGTCAAGCTCAACTTGTCCGACAAGCTCAACATCGATGACGTCACCGCGTCCGTTGAGTACGATGTGCCGAGCCAAGACGCCACGGTTAACCTTGGCTACACCAATGGTGATGTCAAGCTCGGATTGAAGTCCAAGGTTAACACAAGCTCCCAAGCTGCCTCCCACAAGGCCACCGTCAACTACTCCGGCATCGAAGGCGTTGGCATTGCCGTCGAAGTCGACCAAGACATTGCGGGCAAGATGTCTGTCACCAAGGACAGATATGAGCTTCGTGTGCCGTTCTCCAAGGACGGTGGTGTGAACGCGGACGACGTCCAACTTCGCATGACCTGGAGCCAAGATTTGTAAGCGGTTTTTGCTGTGGATAAATTTTGTGTGTACCTTCTGTATCGCCAAAAAAACGTTCCTCCGGAGTTACAAAAAAGAGAGATCCGATATAACAAGAAACGCGGCTGATGTCGAGCGAGTTCGTTCTACTCTATCGTCGGTCAGCGTAAAGTTTCGCTTTGTTATGTGGACTTCAAATAATTAATAAATGTCGCTTGTTCCCTTCAAACGTGACGCGTGTGTGGAGAGGCTAGAATTACTAAATGGTTCACTAAAATTCTATTTACGTCGCGCACGCTTGCCTGATCGTCTGCAAATCGCGATCGACATAATCTAACTCGTGTATTCTAAACGCGACACGCTCTTGCGACCAAGAAACACCGTTATCGACGGAAGCGCGAACCGTAGTTTCGTGCTCGCCGTCGACGGTGATTGGCACCTCCACCAGGATCAACGCCGAGGAGACGAAGTGACCCCTCGCGGTGGCCGACGTTTCTTCGTGTTTAAACGATACCAATATTTCCCCCCCGTCCTGGGGTGATTTGAAATAAAGACCTCGTATGTGCAGAGGGTTACCCACTGCGTTTGAAACGTGCCACCATGCCCCTCCAAAGATGTCCAAGGCGGGCAACACGAATTTCTCAACTTCAAATGGCGTCTGGGGTCGACCCTCGTACACACTATGGGAGAGATCGCGTGTCATCGACGCAGCATCTTTCAGCGTAGTGCAATTACTCTCGGTGAAGGCTGGACGATAACCGTAAGGCGGTGGCACCGCGCTCACTGCGACGGATGATATCATTGGCGGCGGCGTGTACTGGAGTAAAAGTGGTGTAATCACGTCCTCGCCACCTCTAATCCCGATACCGAAAGACACGAACGCCAAGTTGGTACGGTAGCCCAACTGATCGAACATGTTTTTGATCGAACAGTCGTACACGTTCGAAGAAATCGCCTGAAACGCACCTAATACAAAATTCCTGTCGCCCTTGACGTAGCACTCATACAGAGCAAGCTGCTCGCTAGGAGAGGATAAACCAAACTGGGTTGCGAGCTGCTTCGCGTTGTTCACGTACTCATAAATGGTATCATCGTCTATAGACTTCATCATCTTGAGGCTATCCACCACAAATTCACCGTAATGCCCGGGATCTCCTTGAGTCACGGAGAAACGATACTTGTTGGCGTTGTACTTCCCGAATGCGGGCGAAATGCAGCGCACCAGCGATGTCGTCGACGTCTCGTTACTCGACCAACTCCAGTCTGCAAGGACTTGAATCGTTCCGAATCGGCATGATGAGCTGAGAAACGACGCCGTTCCATTCTTGGCAACGAGAGCAAGTTCACTTCCTCCTTGAGGATTCAGAAAGACGTGATCTTCTCTAGTAAACTCAATTGAAGTCGCCTCGGCATAAGAATTTGCGAGGACACTTGCGTTATTTAAACCGTGAAGTAACTTCACGTGAGACTTTGGGTCATTGTTTCGATCCACGGACTCAACCGCAAGGCGAGCGACAAGCTGTGTGACCCAGCCACTGGATTCATCCGGGAGGTACCAGCTCTCGGGATTTTCTTCGACTCTTGGCGCAAGACACTTCATCAATGCGCTGCTTACAAAATGTCCGAAAGTGGGATCATCCAACACCTCGTTCGGTTCTCCTGGCGCTACATGCAGAGAGCATCCATCACCTGGCAAAAATCCAGATCCGGAGACGGTGAGCGCCCATCCCCCATAAAGTGGACCGGTCACTCCAGCGGTGACGATTGTGCCTACATGCGCATCATCTCGAATCATCACACCGTTGTCATAATTGCCTGGAGAGTACACGTCATCCACATTCAACATGTAATTATCCACGAGTACGGCGTGGAAACCGGGAGTTGCCCCACCCACGCCGACGCCAGAACACAGAACGAGCTCTGACGAGAGATAACTGTTCACGGTGAGGTATGTTGAGTTCAATCGACACCGCGGGCTGAAACTTGGAAAATCGGATCCAACGGCGAATAGTAGGTTCGCTGTGGGTACTGCGAAGAGTTGCCTTGGGAAAATGTCCGTAACAATCGGTTGAGCGACGTAATCCAGCTCTCCTGAAGATGAGAGAAGCGTCAACTGGGAAAAAGATGTAAACATAGATGACGCGAACAGCGAAACGAAAAGTGGCACACTCGTGGGGGTTGCCCTCGGCGCGGCTGGGGCGACGCATTCAAACGTCTCGGATTCATTGTATCTAGCCGAAATTGGTCTAACAGTGCCAAACGCGCACGCTACGTCTGTCGACGTCACTCGACCAGAGTCGTGCTTGACCCTGACACTGGACGTATCTGGTTCATCAAAAATTGCGGTTATCGAGAGTACGCTCCCACCCAATTCTGAGACGCTCGTGAGTGGCTCGTCAAGCCCAAAATGCAAGTCGTAGCTCGACACCACTACCTCGATCCATCCAGTTTGGTAGCTCCAAGCTTCATCGCCATATAAATATACTAGAGCAATCTCAACCGATGTTCTGGCTTCAGCATTTTCCATATCTGCTCGCGATCTGGTGGGAAACTCGCATTTCATCAACGTGTCCGAGATAAGTTCGGCGTCTGTGTAGAGAGACTCGCTAGATGACCCGTACCGAAACGCACACTTTGGAGCTCCGTTGACAAAATTTGTGTCGATCGACGGAGAGAAACCGTAACCAGTGACTGTTAGAATGCCACCGAGAGCCTCATCGATCGCTGCTGGTAACATATTCGTGATCTCACCACGGCTGAAAGTAAGACTCGGAGTGTCGTACATTGGGACCTCATTCACGGCGTACGATACGTAATTAGCATCATAAGGCCTGGTTGTAGCGTTTTCGATATGGTAATCGACCGTCGTCTCGCCTGTACAACAGCCAAGGGAATAGTCACAAAACACGGGCTGCACAACCGCGACGTCGTGTGCCACATCCGGCGGAAAACATAAGACCGCCGTGTCTGAGATCACATCCGCCGGCGATGTTCGATTTCCAGCGCTCGACGAACCGAATATGCAAACGGCATTGAGTCCGTCAAATTTAGACACGGAGTCTGAGCCCCAGTCGTAGCCCGCAGCCGACGATGGGTGTTTAAAACGTTCACCAATCAGCATCACTGTGTTCTGAGGACTGTACAAGTTTATCACGGGCGGTGTGATGGCGCTCACGAAAGCGCACTTGAACATACGGGCATCTATCCATTCGGCTGCTGTTAGAGTCCAAGTTGCTGAGCTACCAGCATACCTATCAGACACGGACAAACCACATCCAGCATCAAAGGGGACATACGAGACCAAACCTGTCTCACTCCCAGCCATGAAGCGTTCCATGTTGGTGTGAATATCCTCAATCGACCTAGCCACGGACCAGTATCGCACCTCGTCGATGGAGAAGCCTGCAATACCAGAGCCACCGATGATTCCGTGAGGCATGTTGAATCCGACGCTAGTGAGCTCACTGTGGAAGGCTCCATTCACGACCAATCGAAGATTTGCGCCTGGAGCGCTGTAAGCTGTTGGATAGCTGCTTTCATACATCACGAACGCCAGGTGCACCCACGTTCCAAGTGGAGCGAGGTAATTAAACGTTCCTCCACTGACCCCACTGGGAGGTACAATGCCAACCTTCCCACTCGCTTCGCTCATTTCAAGCATGATCGCACTGCCATCGCTTGGACTCGCAAACAGGGTTTGAGCGGTGAGCCACACGTCGCGACGCACCCATGCCTCGATTGTCCAAGGTGGAGTCACGGTAAGCGCTGATGAAGACTTGATCTTGGGTTCGGCACCCTCCGTCGCAGTAGCAACAGGGATCCGAACAGAACGACGATGCGACGGAGGACAGCTGTTCGCACCTGACTCAAACGTCCTCCTGGTAGAAGCAGTGACCGTCTTATCGGTCCGTTCAAAAAAGGAGTGGGAGAAACCGCGCACTAAAAGGAAAGCAGTGGCTGTTGACGCGCTTATTGACCCCGACGGTGAAGTGTGTGAATTCGTTGTGATATCAACTCCCGTCGCACCAGTTGACTCGCTTGTCGTTCCATCCCATCCACGGAATGCAAACGACACCATGAACTCGTCCTCAAGCGACGTGAACGTTGGAACGAACCTGACCCGCTCGTTCGATTCGGCTTTGAGTATCAGCGCATTGGTCGTGCTCAACGCACCGTTGGTGTCAAAGTTCGTCCAGGACGCACCTGAATCTGTTGAAAATTGCCATGTCCCTCGTGTTTGATCGCTTCCCACCACTGCAACGCCATACGGAACAGTTCGCAATGAAGGCTGAGCGTCGCAATCCAACACGTGTGCATCCAAAAAGTCGCGCACAGTTGTGCCCATGTTGGCAGCATCTGCAATATGAATGGGTGTCAACTCGTAGGCAGCAATCAAGCTCAATATAGGGGGACTGTTCGTCCATGTGACGGTTATGTAAGAGTGCGCAGGAAGATCAACGACCTTCGTGAGATCTGTCGTGCTCGTCGACGGCTTCAAATCAAATCCAAATGTGCTTGATAACGCATCGCCTGTATACGTGCACACCGTCGGCGTGAATCTGAATCCAGTGGTAGCATCTGATGGAGATACCAGCGTATTGTTCGCCAAAGGCACTGTTGGTGCGGATTCGAGAGCTAACACACCACCAACGATTCCGCTCACCTCGTACGCCGTAGGCACTAACGATCCATCGCTCGGCACCGATGCGAGCGTGATCGCCCCCGACGCAGTTTGAGCTCCTGATGTCGTCGTGGCGTTCAAACGAGAAGCATCTGGAACCCTCATCATACTCGCGAGCTGCACAGCCATCGTTCTGCTGGCAGCCGTCGCGACATTACCGGCGTTGTCTGTAGATCTAACTAATAACTCATACGTCCCATCTGCGAGTGTTGCGAGATTTGTCAGGGTTACAGTCACGTTTTTGTCCGTGGGACTCCCCGAAAACGCGGTGTACGTCATCCATGTGTGTAAGGGTGAAGGATTCGACGCCCCGTTATCCACACGCGTGAACTGCGTCTCGATCTTCTGCAGTCCTGACTGAACGTTACTGTTCACCACATCCACATCTGTGCTTGATACGACGTACGACACGGTATCCATCGACGGATTAGCACCATCCGCCAATCCACTGACGAATGTCACCGATGGATTCACGTTATCTATGGTGTACGTCACAGAAATTTGGTTCACGGAGGACTCCGTTAGCAATTTCCCGGTGTAACTTTCAATGGATACTGCTCTAAAGGTGAATTCGTTGACCCCGTAACTCGGCGTCACGTTCACCGAACTCGTCCCGGTCGGCAATCTTGTGTAGGTTTTGATGTAATCGTTCGTCGTGCTGTACTCGAACTGAACGTAAGCTGACGACGGCCGCGATGACTGCATGTAGAATGTATTTACTGAATTCGACGTCCCGTAGGTTGAAGGCGTCGCGTACGCCGAGTCCCACTCCACCGTTAGTGGATCTTCTATCACCCAGTTGTAAACTTCAGGGGTATTACCAGGCGTATTATCTCCTCCTAAACCTCGCACCTTGAACTGATGCTGTCCCACCGTCAATCCAAAGTACCACACTGGCGTGGCGCCGCAATACGCCCACGCGCTCCCGTCCAGGCTACACTCCCTCCCACACAAATCGCACCGAGCTCCGTTCACGTCGTACACGACGAAATCAAACGAGGCGTAATTCTTCGTCGACGCCGGCTCGAGCTTGTCGCACACGATCGTGTTCGTCGAATCGTTCGGCGAGCACCGCCCTCCCGGAACGCTCTTGTAATCCAAAACCGCCTCCGCCGCCCCGTTCGTCGCCCCCGAGAGCGGGGCCCCGGTGGACACCGCCGCTCGCACCCCCACAACCCTTGAAATCACCGCGATCGCGATCGCGAACGTCCAGGGCGCGCGCGAACGCGCGCGAACCCCCGCGGCTCCTCGGGCCGTTGCTCGACCGGGACGCGCCATCTCCCCCGTTCGCGTCGTCCACGAACCTACGCTCGACCTGAACCTCTCGTTAAATCACACCCACGGCCCGCATCTTCCCACGGACGCGATTTCACGCGCGCGCGCGTCTCACAGCGCGCGCGCGAGTGCGGAACGTGACGGAATTCAAAGCTCTGTGACAAAAATTTTCGTCAGACGACGACGCTCGTGACATGCCCGCGATCGATCTTCGCGCGCGCACGCGCAACGCGAAGCCGAGACACGACGCGCGCGTTGATTTTTCCCACCCGCCGCGGTCGACGAAACAGAGCGAGGCGTCGACGAGCGACTCGGAGGAGGCGAGGCGGAGGAGACTCCTGGGCGAGGCGCTCCTGCGGCTCGACGCGCGCGTGTTCGGGGCGCCTTGGTGCGAAAGATGCCGACAGCAGAAGGAATTGCTCGCGGAGTTGATTCCAAAGAAGTGGTCTAGATTGTACGTCGATTGCGGGCGGGCGTCGAGGTGCTTGGCGTGCACGAATTGTAAGACGACGCCGACGTGGCGCGTCAACGGACGGCGATACCCGGGAGCGTTCGACGTGGACACGTTGACGGAATTAGTCGGCCTACAGGCCCAGGGATCGCGGCAGGAGGTGACCGATCGGGTTATTGACGCCGTTGACGCGGGTGACCCGCTCGGTGGGCTTAAACTCGGAGATCTACCCGTGGGCGGACGCGACAGGCGCCACGCTCGAAGGAGCGGATGGGCCAAGCGCGCCGCGGTACGGCTCGCCTCGCTCGGACGGGGTAAGTTTTGGTGCGAGTTCGGGGAGTTATTCACCGAGTCTGTCGCCGACGTCGCTAGACGAGCCGCCAAGGAGGGTCGGGCGCTCGCACCGATGTGAGACGTCGACCGCGACGTCTCCGCTCGGAGCGTCCCGAGCGGTGACGCGGTAATCATTCAACAATTCTAATCCATCGTCCCTCGGCATCCGCACACCCCCCCGCGCGCCCCGGTGATGGGGTACAGCAAAGAACAACTCCGACGCCGCGAGCGTCTCCATCGCTTCGCCGTCCGTCGCGGTCGCGGGTGCGGCGCCGTCGTCACGTTTGCGTTCTTTACGATTTTTTTGCTCTGGATGCAAACAACCGCGCGCGCGGGGCGCGCGTACGACCCAGCGATGGACGCGAAGTGCGTTCGAGCGCTGTCGATGGCGCAGAGGGAGTTCTTTCAGCGACGGGCGTGCGAGTACGACACGTCGAACGCGAAGGCTGATTTCATCGCGGCGGAGTTGGCGCTGACGGTGAGGAAGCGACACGCGCCGGGACCGTGTGTGGTGATGACGTTGGGGTTACCGCGAGTGACGCGCTCGGCGGGGGATGTCGGGAGCGTGGAACCGTCCGTGGGCGTCGACGGGGGATTGGCGGCGAAGATGGGGTCGTGGGTGACTTCGATGGTGGACGCGGGCGCGTTTGAGTGCGAGACGCGGACGTTCGTGGACGAGAAGGCGGTTGACGCGCTCAGGAGCACTTTGTACAAGAATGGATTCGATAACGTCGCGGTGGAAAAGTTGTGGAACGAGCGCAAGGTTGGGAAACAGCTCGACGAAGAGTTTGAGGAAGCGAGGAAGAGATCGCCGGATGCGAAGCACGTCGTCCTCATCAACGACGCACAACGCTCGAGGTCGCAATTCGCGAGGTTTCGAAAAGGACTTTCCAGTGGTAAGGTGAGCACGATAATTTGGCGTCGAGAGATCACCAGCAAGACGCAGCGGAAGGCGTTGGTGAAGGAGATGCAGCTCGTGTCGCGTTTCGGATACTCGGTCTACATCGCGGGCGCGGGCGTGGATGCCGAGGGCAATGCCACGCCGACGGCGTATCTAAGAGTCGATCACGGGGCATGGGATGACGTTTTCGCGACGCCGAACACCGGGATCGAGCTCACGATCGTTGCGGTTCAGCAAGACGACAAGTTCAAAACGCTTCTTGACGGAACGTTTGGCCTTTGTCCCACGAAGGCGACTGCGAGGAATAAGAACGAAAGTTTCGGTCCGAGCTGCGCGTGTGATGAAGGTAAGTTCGTGACGGCCCCTGTTGGCACGCAGTGCTCATTAAAGAGCCGTATGGGGTCGAAATCGTATTTCAACTGGTTTTGGAGTTTCCTGAGCGGGCGAACGGCGGACGACGTCGAGGGTGTCGCCGAGCTCGACGCGATGCTCGAACGAAACGGAGAGCTCTGGCGCAAGTGATTTCGTGTTGCTATTAAAACAATTGCATGACTTTCACATCGAACCGCACGCGCGATTCGCGATGAGTTGTAATTTTATCCCCGCGCTTGGCTGTCGAGGTGCCCACTAGCGACGTCCTCGGTGCAAGTTTGCGAGTTCTAAAATGTCCAATTCGTCTTCTGGCGACCACTGCTGCACACCCTTCACCTCTGGAACGTAATGCATCAGCATGTTCTCGATACCACTCTTCAGCGTCACGCTCGAGGACGGGCATCCATCGCAGGCTCCCATGAGTTGCACGGAGACCACCCCGGTCTCCTGGTCGTACGCCTTGAACACGATGTCCCCACCGTCCTCCGCGACCGCCGGTCGAATCCTCGTCTCCAGCAGCTCCTTAATCATCGCCACGACTTCATCGTCATCCTCCTCGATCGCCGTCCCGTGCCCCTCCAAAGAGGCCTCGTCCACGACGGCTTCGCCGCTCGCGTAAAAATCCATGATCGCCTCAAACGTCCTCGGCTTCACCGTCTCCCAATCGTGATCCGCATCCTTGGTCACCGTGATAAAATCCACGCCAAGGAACACATTCGTCACGCCGTCGATCGCGAACAACCTTCGCGCGAGCGGCGACACCATCGCCTCCCGCGCGCTTCCAAAGTTTCTCGACCCCTCCGCGTAGACGTCCCGTCCCGGTTGAAACATCAACGACTCCGGGTTCGGCGTCGCTTGCGTCTGGACGAACATCGTTCGACACCGTCGAAGAAAATTCCATCCCGACGCATCGCTCGCCGACGCCGTCGCCGTGCGTCGACCGAGCGATCCGTCGCGACCGATGCGCGCGCGCGTCACCGATGTCGTCATCGCTCGAACAGCCACGCCTCGCGACGCCGCGCGGGCGCTGTCGCACCCTCGACGGGCGCGACGCACCGCGCGTTCGATCGTCCGTCGCATCGTCGGTCGTGCACGCGCTCGGGCGTCGCGCGCGGCGCCGTGTGCGGGGCTTTCACGATGCGCCCGACGTGGCGCACGACGCCGACGCGCATTCCTCGACGCGCGCGTCGAGCGAGACCGCGCGCGCGCGACACCGCGCGCGCGTCGCCCGCGCGCGCGTTCCACGACGTCTCCACCGCGCGTTCGCGTCCGAGGTGACGGATTCACTCGGGATTCTCCTCGCGCGCGCCCGCCGCCGGAAAGCGCGCGATGGACGCGAACGCGTCGATGGAGGACCCGGACGTGGAGAGCGATGAAGCGTTCGTGGATTTGAACTCGGCGGAGTACGAGGAGATGGCGGACCTGGACGAGGACGACGAGGCGCCGATGTCGTCGGACGACGAGGAGGATGTGACGGCGGCGGATGACGCGGAGGACCGGGACGAGTGCGGGACGGAGACGGTGACGCCGGATCGAGACGATGCGGAGTTGGTGATCGATGCGCACGCGGCGTCGGTGTTCTGCGTCGCGTGGTCGTCGTTGACGGATGAAGCGACGGTGGCGACGGGTGGTGGGGACGATAAGGGGTACCTGAGACGAGGCGCGGCGAGCGTCCCGCTCGGCGGGCACGAAGAGAGCGTGTCGGCGTGCGCGTTCAGCGGAGACGGGGGATTGCTCGCCACCGGTGGGCTCGAGGGACGGGTGTGCGTGCACGATGGGAAGAGTGGTGAACTACTGAGATCGCTGGACGGTCCAGGTGGTGGGATCGATTGGTTGTCTTGGCATCCGCGCGGACGCGTCGTGCTCGCCGGGAGCGAGGACTTCACCGCTTGGATGTGGAACGGGGACGACGGGGCCCTCATGCAGGTGTTCACGGGGCACAGCGAGCGTGTGTCGTGCGGTGGATTTACGCCAGACGGGAAGCAAGTCGTCACCGGTTCTTACGACGGCTCGCTTCGCGTTTGGCAACCGCGCACTGGGCACTGCGAGCACGTTTTCCGCGGGCATCCTTTTCACGACGGTCCGCTCACGTGCGTCGCGTTCCACCCCACGAATCAAGGACTGAGCATCACTGGGAGCGAAGATAATACCGCACGTTTAGTGAACATCGGCAATGGGAAGGTTTTGGCCCCGCTCGCCGCGCACACGGAGACCATTGAGGCGGTTGGATTTTGCGATGTCATGCCGCTCGCCGCGACGGGCTCCATCGACAAACTCGCCATCATCTGGGACACTAACACGTGCCAATCCCGGGGATCTCTCGCGCACGATGGTGCGGTGAGTCAATTAAAGTGGATCCCGAACACGATGATGCTCTATAGGTGCGTTCAAACGACTCGTCGCGTCGCGCTTGATTCCGCAGCATAAGGGCCTCGCGCGTCTCTTACATGACGCGCGTAGGTGGACGTACCGCTGCGAACATTACTCGCCCCGTCTCGTCGACATCATCGAGCGCGGGCGCATTCCATCGCCATCGCTTACGTCGTCGAGTGGGCCACATCCCATCCATCAACAACTTGCAGCGCCGACTGACTCTTCTCTCGTTCGTCCGCCTCGCAGCTCCTCCGTCGACGGCGCCGTCCGCCTCTGGGACGCTCGCTCCAACACCTGCGTCCGCGACGCCCGCGGACACGTCAAGGGAATCCTCGACTTCGCTTTGAGCCCCGATCACGCGCGCGTGATCACCGCGAGCGATGATTGCACCGCGCGTGTCTTTAACTTTCAATAACATCCGAGCGCGCCTCGTGGACGCGAGACTTCACCCACCGCACACATCGACGCACGCATCGACGGTCTCCGCCGCGTACGATTCACCCGATTTACATGCACGCAATCTCGTAAATGCCGTCCAAGCGCCGAGACGACGTCCAGCGGCGTCTCCACGCCCGCGCGCTCGGCGCGCGCTCCGCCGCGCAGTCCAATTCCAGAATCTTTCGCGCCGTCCCCCCGCGGCTGTGCGTCCCGGTCGAGCGCGTCGTCGACGCCCCGCGACGAATGCTCGAGTGCGTGCTCCTGGGATTTCTCTCGAGCGGCGATCACGTGGTGAGCTACAGAGAGACGGAGCGCGGCGGGTGCGAATTGGAAATCTGGTCGTTTCAACCGAACGCGCGCGCAGAGTTGATCGCGACGACACCCTTGTTCGATTGCGACGGGTTCGGGGAGTTACATCGCGGGAATGGTGGAGGCATGCGCGATTCGGGGGCGTTGGAGGGGGTGATGGGTCCGAGAGATCCGGGCGGGGGAATACGAGTGCACGTGTGCGAGAGTTGGGACGGATCGACGCTGATCGCGCACGGCGAAATCAGGAGCGGTTCGAGCGAGGAATTTCCGGGAAGGCGACCGGCGAAGCGGTGTGCGGTGACAGTGCTACCGAACCCGGCGAGCGTGCGGCGAGGGACCTCGATTGCGGCGACGCACATGAGTTACGTGAGCGCGGCGCATTCGCCGTTTCATCCGAGTTGGAGCGGGCTGGCGCCGGCGGCGACGCCGAGGGAGAGGGCGTTGGACATTCGCTATAGTGAAGGAGGCCCTGAAAGGGAGGACATAGATGATCCGTACGCGTTTCATGATGAGAGCGAGACGAGTCCGAGGCGGAAGTCACGGAAATCTGACGTTGTTCGACATTTGGTGGATAGCGGGAAATTCACGCTGAACACCGCTGACGTGCTCCTGGCGGTAGACGTCGCGACGGCGACGTTAAATCCGAGAGATCCTCACGATCGATCACTCATGGAGGCACAGTTGCCGTCTAATATGGGTGTGAGCGTCACGCCCGCGTGTCACTCACCCCTGGTGACATGGCACGGGGTCTATGTGAGCGATCACTTGAGCATCGATAACGAGGACGTGTACGTGGAGGACCAAGGCGCGCTCGGAGATACCGCGCCGTATGTCTACGTATCGGCGCTTCCAAGCTCGGTGCGCGTGTGTATAATCACTCCCTGGATCGCGCTCGAGATGGAAAAGGTTCTCAAGTCGTCCCTGAGAGCTGCGTTGGACTTCGGATTCAGCGTGCGCGACTACGAGCTTCTTCCTCTTCAGAACTGTCTCGCCGAGACGAGCGGTGAGGAACCGAGTATGCTCGTTGCCATGCTGAGCGTGCTCGCGCCGAGCTCGTGGAACCATCAACCGACGTGTCCTGGTCGAATGCGCGTCGTGGTCACTCTCATTGAGCGTCGTCTTGATCGCACTCCGGGTGGAGGACAAGTCGTGTACAGCCACGAGCTCCCGGTTCACGCTGAGGGAAAACAACCGACTCCGGCGCTATTGAACGCCGCTCGTGCGCACATCATGCAAGTGCGTAAATCGATCATGATTCCAACGCCTCGTTGGACCCGAAACGCGTCGACGATGACGAACACAAATGTGGTAACGCACGGCACTTCAGCGTCGACCATCAAACACCCGACGTTGCCAGTCGCGATCGTCGGCTACGGTATTAGCGCGACGCGAGAGTGAGAGGGTGAGAAAATGAATGTACGATACGTCACCAATACGATAGCATAGCGAATAGTTTCTTCCATTGTGATAATACAATCATTTGCTTCCCATGGTGAAACCCTTGGTTACGGACCACAGTCTAACTGTGCCCTTTGGATCGTCACCCCCGTACGCGAGCACGAGTTCTTTGGGATGAAAAGCGACGGCATTCGTCGCGACTTCGGTTTTGATTTGTGCCATACACGATCCAGTCTTCACATCGGCTATGTCGATGAACATGTCCTCTGACGCCGAGGCAATGTAGGCGCTGTCGTGACTGTACGCCAGCGCACGAATGGGCCAATCCAGACGCACGACTGTGTCGTAACACATCAACTCCTCCGTCGCCCACAAACTCACGATAGCATCAGCGGCGCCCATGGCGAAATACTTCCCAGTGGGATCCATCTCGATGCAGTAACACCCTCCGTTGTGAGCGAAGTGCGATGACGCGTGCGTCAGCGCGCCCGTGGAGTCGTCAAACGAAAACTTCTCCATCTTCCCCTGTCCCGTGGCCAGCATGAACTTCTTCCCACTCACGTCCCACGTCATCGCGTTCACTTCGTACTCAAACTTTTGTTCCCACACCACGTTCATCGTCGTCGCGTCGATGATCTTCACCGCCTCCGCCGTGCCCACGGAGCAGTGTCGCCCGCTCGGCGACCACGCGCACGCGTATCCCGCCTCCTTCAATTCGATCGTCGACGCGCACTTCCCGCTCTTCACGTCCCAAAACTTAGCCGTCTTATCAGTGCTCACAGTGAGCGCTCGATCACCGTTCGCGCTCGCCGGATCGTACGCCACCTGTTCCGCCGAGGACGCGTGTCCCGCGAGCGCGCTCGCTCGCGTCGCCGCCTCGACGTCGTAGATCGTCACCTCACCGTCGCCGCACGCCGCCGCGAGCCACGCGCCATTCGGACAAAACGCCAACGATCGCGTCTTCGCCCCCGCGCGTCCCGGAAGCGCTCGCGTGCGCTGCGAATCGAAAACATACTCGGGTCAGTGTCCCGAAGCGAGTCAACAACGCACATCTCTTCACGCGTGCGCGCGCGAACGCACCGTGTTCACGTCATCGAACGGGTGCTTCGTCGGCGGGTACTCCCCGGGATTTGGCATCCACATCCCTTCGAGCGCGAACGCGGTGTCGTCGACGACGCCGTACGGACGGTGCGGGAGGTCATCCATGAGGCGTTCGAGCGCGGCGCGGCGCGCTGTGCGGACGCGACGCGCGATCGAGACTCGAGACGTTCGATTGAACGCGAGCGCGCGTCGACGAGGAATCGAGGAAAAATCAATCGCACGCGATGGATCGCCGACGCGCGCGCGCGATGAAGGAGGACATGACTTACAAAACCGCGCGCGTCTCCGCGTCCGCGCGTCTCGCGCTCCGAATTCGCCCTCGCGATCATTTCAATCGCTTCATCACCTCCCTCGCCGCCCTCGCGCTCGTCGCCGCATCGCCGCTCGACATCAACTTGGTCGTGCACTCACGTTCCGTTCCCAACGACTGCCTCAACAAGCACGTGAACGTTCTCGAGTCGTGATTCTTCGGAAACGCGTAAATCACCACCCCGTCGTGATCCCCCGTCTGCGTCACGTAGAACGACTTCAGCGATCCTCCCAGCATACCGATCAATCGCGCGATGTGTCGCTCCTGCGCCTCCGCGCTCTCCATCTTCGTCGCCGCCTCGTTTCTCGCCAGCGTGAACACCGTCATGAATGTCGGTTCCGTGGGTTCGAACCGCGTGTGCGTCTTCGGCGCGTACGCGAGCTCCTCTTCCTCCGCACCGAGCCCACCGTGTCGCGCGCGCGCGATCGCTCGCGCGTTCGCCGCGGACGACGTCACATTCCGCGCCCGTCGCGCGCACGCTCGGAGCATGGCGCGGAGATGTGCGGCGCGATCGTCCGCATCGACATCACTCGACACTTCGCGACGACGACGGATGACGTTCTGCGCCCTGAACGCCGCGTTCGCGCTCGCGTGCGCCGCGTTCGGCGGCGCCGTCGTCGCGTCGGCGAAGAGCGGGGCGTCGAGCGCGAGCGCGCGCGGGCGGGACGGGACGCGCAGGCGCGAGCGGGCGATCGAGGTGCGAATGGGACGACGACGACGCGACGACGGCGCGATCGGGCGGTGCGGGCGGTGGGGGGGGGGTAGGGCGACGTCCAGGGGGGGACGCGCGATGCGAGGGACGAATGGGGTGGGCGGTGGGGTGTGAATGGGGGGATGAGACGACGCGCGGGCGGGCGGATAAGAGACTGACGGGAGACGCGCGGGACGATTGTGACGCGCAGGCGACGAGCGAGGCGAAGGCGGTGAAGGGTAAGAAGGGTAAGAAGTGAGATTGATCGCGCGGTCGGATTTATGGATGGTTGATCGAACGATGGGTGGGTCGGAGGGACGCGCGTCGAACGAGGGTTGGTTCGGGGTCAAAAGCGCGGCGCGCGACGGCGCGTCGCGAACGTTGTAATAACGGAACCGCCGAAGATTAGTTACTACAATGCGACTTTTGTATCGCGCGTAAACATCCCCTGCGTGCTCGGTTGATCACCCACTTCACAAAACAACTCTTTCGCAAACGAGCGAGAACAGACTCGACGCGAGAGCTTTGTCTTCTCCTCTCGCCCGCTTACATGGTGAGGTCCATGATGGCGGAAACGATGTCACCCGGGTTCGCTCGGAGCGCGGTAACAGCCTTAGCGCGGCTCACGTTCGCTTGCGTCATCACGAGCTCGATGTCCTTGGCTTCAATGCCAGTCTCATCCACATCACCTTCCTCTTCGGCGGTCTCCAGCGTCGGAGCCGCCTCCACGGCGCCCGCGGCGGGCGCGCCAGCCTTGAAGGCATTCTTCAACGCGGCGGCCTGCGCGGCCAAATCCTCCATCTTCGCCTCACCGAAGATGACGTACGAGTCAGAGCCTTCGGCGTGGTACACGTCGGGTTGGTTGATGACGAACATCGCCTGCTTGCTCTTGCGAAGCGTCACGCGTTGAACGTCCTCAAGCTTTTGAAGACCGAGCTTTTCCATCGTCTTGCGCGCCTTCTTCTCAGCCTTGCTCATCGTGTGATCATCATCATCTGCATGGATGCGAGACACCTCGTCGTCAGTCTGTGTTCTCGCTCGTTCGCGCCGCGCGCTTCGCTCGCACAGGTTAAAGGTGCAAACCAATTCAGCAATAATCGCCGTCCTTCTACGTACCTTGTTCATCTTCCCCATCGGTGTCGACCTCCTACGATTGGTAAAATCACGCTTCATCAGTCCGGCGCCCTCGCGTTGGAGCTTTCCACTCGCGCGTGCGTCGATGGGCGTCCGATCGCGTCCCGCGACGCCTGCCGAAACCCTATTCTGCGTAATCCACGCGCGCGCACGCCTCGCGCGCGCGACGACGGCGACGAAACCGCTGACGTACCTCGAGGTCCGGAACCTTTTCTTCTTCCGCGGACATCGTTTCTCGTGGCTCACGACGTGTCGCTGCGGCGCGGCGTTGAAAGAGGGACTCGTCCAGGGCGAGCGCGAAGGTGGAGCGAGGAGAGGTGCACACAATACGGGAGCCTGATTGGAACGCGAGGAATACGTTAACACCGACGCAATTCGCCGCTCAGCGAGGCGGCTAAGACGTCGAAGGGGGTGAAGATGGGGTTCTCCGAATCATTTTTCTCGTACGCTCCCGGCGCGGATGCGCTGAGGCGAACGGTGAAGTCGGCGCGATCGCTCTCGTCCACGCGCTCGGCGCCGCCGACTTCAAGGAGTTCCTCCATGACTTCACAAACACTCTGGGGGCTGGAGACGAAACCGTACTCGGTGTTGTCGATGAAAACCTTTTTGCCCCTGAACGGAGACACCTTGGTCTCCTTGAGTTTGCACATGGTCTTGTACCCGTGCTCTCGCTCGAACTTTTTGTCGCGGACGAGCCACGGGCGCGTCGTGAGAAACGTTCCTTTTCCCTCCTTGGCCGACGCGTCGATCCACGACGATTTCACAATGGGACAGTGATTCAATGATGCTATCATGACGTTTCTCGTGCGTTTCAGCGGCGCTTCGGTGACGAAGACGTTGCAATCGCGCACGGAGTCCACGACGATGCCGCCGAGCTTGGAAATTTTGCGACTCATGTGTTTCATTTCTCTTTCACTGTACCCGGTGCTGAGTTTGACACGCACCTGCGCGTCCGGTACGCCATCATCGCACGACGAAAACCCAGCCGACGTATTATTCACTTTCTTCTTCTTCTTCTCCTCCTTCTCCAGCTTTGTCTCCGCGGGCCTCGTCGTCGGTCTCTGCGAGTCGCACGCGAACGGCGAACGGCACTGGGTCGGGGCGCTGATTCGAAAACTCTGCCGCAATGGCTCAACGCCTTCATCCTCACTCTCGTCCTCGTTCGCATCGTCCTCGTTCGCGTCCGCCTCCTCCTTGACGACCGTCTTCCGCGCGCGCTCTGTCGGTTTTTCCGTCGCGCGTCTCGCCACCACCCCCTTCGCAGCCGCGCGTCGCTTCGGTCGAACCACCCGCGCGTCCGCCTTTTCCCGTTCCTCCGCGGCTTTCAAAGCCATCTCACCGTCCATCGCTAGCACCGCGTTCGCGTCGTACGCGCTCCACGCCGCGCCGAGGCGTCTCGGCGCGTCGTCGTCCACCGCCATGTCCAAATCACTCTCGCTCTCGCTCTCGCTCAGCGCCTTCACCGTCGCGACGCGGTGTCCGTCACCATCGCTCGTCGACGCGCTCGCGCTCGATCTCGATCGCGCGTCGGCGATCGCGGGCGACGCCGCGCGCGCGCGCGTTTCGTCGTCGTCGTCGTCAGGACCGTTGAGCGAGCGAGACGATCGCGACGCGTCGCCCGCGCGCGCGCCCGGCGACGCCGAGAACGTCGATCGCGACATGACGTCGCGTCGAGAAGAATTTTCTCAACCGCCCGTCGGCGCGCGAGCGATCGGGAGCGACGGTCGCGCGCGCGCGCTCGACGATGAGGTGACGCGGTCGCGTCGCGAGGAGCAAACGTCGATTCGTCTTACACGCTCGAGACAACGAGGCGTTACGAGCGCGCGCGGGCGCGCGCCCGCACTCGGCGACGCGGCGAGCGGAGGTGATTTCATCGCGAAGAGCGCGAGCGATGACGACGATCGATTTCGCGCTCTCGGGCTCCGGGTGGGACGCCGTGCGCGAGGTGACGATTGAGGATGTGTGCAAGACGGCGCTCGAGCTCGGGTTCAAGCGCGAGAAAGTGGACGCGAAGAAGCCGATCACGCGCCGAGCGGACGTCGATGGATTCTTTCGAATGTTTTCCGTCAATTCACTGTCGAACTTCAAGCGCATATTCTCGAAAAATGAATTGAAGACGCCTAAGAAGGGGGGCGAGGTGTTCGTGGAGGAACGCGAGGCGGACGTCGCGGACGAGGTCACGTGGGAGGTCCCGCCCATGGAGGAGTACGAGACGCTCTCGAAGAATTGGGATAAAGAGCACGTACACAAGTGGCGAATGTTACCGAAGCCGGGTGGGGCGGTGTGTCGACCGGACGATTGGTACTCTCTCTACGCCGCCAAGCAGCAAGTTGAAAAGGGGGACGTCGAGGGCGAGAAGCCCATGTGGGCCTCCCACGGCGGCATCGCCTACGACGAGCGCGAGCGCTGGGATTTCTGGAATAAACTCAAAGGCATGTCCCATCAGGACGCGAAGAAGAAATTCTTAGAGGCCTACGGTCGAGCCATGCTCCCGGAGCGCGAGAGTCTTAACTTCCGGAAGTACTGAGCGCCACGTAAAGCGAGTGCGTCCTCGAACACGGTTATCACCGATCGCGACCACGACGCACCGACCGCGCTTCCACACTTATATACCATAACGTGCACTTTAATGGCCAGCAATGTTCACGCCTTCGTCTTCTCTCGTTCGATCCCGTACGTCCCGGCGCTCGCGTCCCGCTCGCGCCTTTATCCGTCCCTGCGCGCGCGCTCTCCACTGTTCACCATGCGCGTCCTCGCCCGAGGGCACACGCGCGCGCCCAGCGCGCGCGCACACACAGCTCGCCCGCGCGCTCGGCGCGTCGTTCGTCGCGCACGCGCCGACGCCACGCCGAACGACGTCGACGCGAACGATGACGTCGCTTCTCGCTCCACCAGCTCTCGTCGCGCCCTCTTGGCCTCCGTCGGCGCGCTCGCGGTCGGTGCGCTGGCGGTGACGACGGCCGAGCCGGTGATGGCGTCCGAGGCGCGCGCGGCGCCGGCGAGTCGGGCGTATTACTTCGGGAACGGGTGCTTCTGGGGACGGCAGCACACGTTTTACGAAGCCGAGCGCGCGCTCGGTCGGACGGACGACACGATCACCTCCGTCGTCGGCTACGCCGGTGGAGCGGTGAAACAGGCCGAGGATAAACCGGTGTGTTATTACTACGGCGCCGCGGACACGGTGTACGAGCGGTTGGGTCACTGCGAGGTTGTCGCCGTGGAGGCGAGAGACGAGAGAGAGTTGCGGACGCTCGCGGATGCGTACTTTGGAAGTTTTCAGAAGATTCCAGGACTCGGGATGCAGCGCGTCGATCCGCAGGACAGCGGACCAGGGTACAGAAACTGCATCGCGCTCCCTGGGGGGATGAGCTCGCCGATGTTCAAGGTCATCGAGGAGGCGAACGTGCACAACATGAAGCTCGTCCGCGGCGAGGGCAACTTGATGAAATCCGACCGTAAACCCACGGAGACGGACGTGATCAACCAGGTGTGGATCTACGACAGCGATGTGCTTCCCTTCTACCCCGCCGAGGTGTACCATCAGTTCCACGACGGACTCGGGTACAAGTTTCCCCAGGAGTACACTCGCGGCGTCAAGGCGAACGCGCTCGAGCGCGGCCTCATCGCGCCGACGGGATGTCCCGAGATGCGCGAGCGTTCCTTCGCCGATTTCGTCAGCGCCATGACGTGATCTCACATAGCACAATCAACCTCTGTAACACACTCAGCGCGTCGCGATCACGCGTTCACATCCAACATCGGCGTCGACGCCTCGCGCGACCGCACTCGCCGACTCTCCAGAATTCCCCATGGATCGCGTCCTCACCGACGAAGAACTTCGCGCGTCGATCGCGCGCATGCCCGCTCGCGAGGAACCAGACTTCCTACGTCCCGTCGTCAAGCCTCTCGCCGCGGACGAGCCCGCACCGACGATGAGCGTCGAAGGATTCAAGTCGGGGCTGCTCAAGCGCAGGCTCAAAGAGCTCGCCCTCGCGGACGGCGCGCGGTTGGTTCGTAAGACGGCGATCGCGCGAGAGGTTCGGGCGATCAAACAAGAGCTCCGATTGACCAAGGCTCGGGGAGCTCGATCGCGGGTGATGCGAAGACACCGGGAGATCGTGGAGGAGACGCGAGAGGCGCGAACCGAGGCGGAGCGCGCGAGACGGAGGGTCGAGCAAATACGAAGCGAGCTCGAGGAGGAACGTAAGGACATACAGAAAGCGATCGAGAGCGAGCGAGAGGAGAGGCAGAAGTCGATTCAGGAGAACGAGAAGAAGCGGGCGGAGAGAAAGGCGGTGTTGGAGGAGGAACTCGAGCGCAAGTCGGCGAAACGACACAAGCTCGTCGCCAGTCTCAAGGATGTCATCGCGCAGCAGGGAGAGGCGAGAAAGGTAATCGTGGACGCCGGGGGAGTGAACTAGCTCGGGAACGTAATAATCGTGTAATTTGTAGCGTAAGATTCCATTGAAAGATCCAACGCGCGTCGCTCGTCGCTCAAGACGCGCTCCGTGGACGTCTGAAAGCTCGGCTGACGTCACTTTAGCTCGCGACATGTTCGCCTCCGCGTCCGCGCTCGCGCGGTATTTCACCCGCGCGCCCTCCACGTCCGCGCCGAAAAAATCGTCCTCATCGTCCACCTCGCGCGTCGTTCGAGCTACGGCGTCCGCGACGACGGAGAGACGTAAAGACCACGTCGTCGTCATTGGCGCTGGATGGGGCGGTTACGGCGCCGCCAAGGCTCTGTGCGAGTCCGGATGCCGCGTCACGCTCATCGACGCCGCGGACGACCCCACAGGATCGACTGGGATGACGACGAAGAGCGGGAAACCGTTCGAAGCGGGCACGAGGGGATTCTGGAAGGATTATCCAAACATTGAGGCGTGCGCGCGCGAGATGGGCGTGAAGGAGAGCGAGGCGTTCACGGAGTTCACCCCGAGCGCGTTCTGGTCTCCGGATGGATTAGAGGCTACGGCACCGGTTTTTGGGGATTCCTTGGCGCTTCCAAGCCCGCTCGGTCAGGTTTTCGCGACGTTTGATAACTTTAAGCGTCTGCCGCTGAGCGATCGAGCGTCCATGGTTGGGTTGTTGTATGCGATGCTGGATCTGAATCGGGACGAAAAGACGTTCGAGGCGTACGATAGGCTCACCGCACACGAGCTTTTTATACGCATGGGCTTGAGCAAGCGATTGGTGGACGATTTTATTCGACCGACGCTGCTTGTAGGATTGTTCAAGCCGCCAGAGGAACTGTCTGCCGCCGTGGTGATGGAATTGTTGTACTACTACGCGCTCGCACATCAGGACTCGTTCGATGTTCGATGGATCAAGACGAAAAGTATTTCCGAGGTATTGATCGCGCCGTTGTGCTCGCGGTTGCAGAGCGAGCACGGATTGAAGGTTGTCGGAGGCACATTTGTGAACCGCGTGGACGTTGATGAGGTGACACGACGAGCCGAGGCGGTGCACTGGGCGTCGAAGGACGGGAAGGAGGGCGTTATTGACGACATAGATGGCGTTGTGTTCGCTCTCGGTGCGAAAGGAATGAAGAGCGTGGTGTCCAACTCCCCAGTGTTGGCTCGCGTCGCTCCAGAGTTTAGCGCTGCGGCTTCTCTTGGCGCAATCGACGTAGTGGCTACGCGCATTTGGTTGGACCGTTACGTCAACGTCCACCACCCGGCAAACGTCTTCAGTAGGTTCAAGGAGTTGCGCGGAGCCGGTGGCACGTTCTTCATGCTCGATCAGTTGCAAAAGGACACTGAGGTGGAGCTGTGGGGGGGCGAGGAGCCAAAAGGCTCAGTCATAGCTGCGGATTTCTACAACGGCACCGCGATTGCGTGCATGAGTGACGACGACATCGTCAAACTACTTATCGAGCAGCTACTTCCTGCCGCCGTTCCAGGATTCAAGGGTGTTGAAGCGCTGGACTTCGAAGTGCGCCGTTATCCTGGAGCTGTCTCCTGGTTCTCTCCTGGTTCGTACCTGAAGAGACCGCCGCTCGAGAGTCCGTCCGTCTCTAACATCGTCTGCGCGGGCGACTGGGTTCGTATGGGCGATAAAGAGCACGGAGCCAAGGGTTTGTGCCAAGAACGAGCGTTCGTGTGCGGGCTGGAGGCTGGAAACTCCCTTCTCCGTCGAGGTATCATCACATCGGGCGCTCCCCATCCCGTGATTCCCATTCGCCCCGACGAAGCCCAGGTCGTCCTCGGCCGCGCGCTGAACAAACAATTCATGGACGCCCTCACTCCATTCGGCCTCGCCTCGCCCTGGATCCGCTGATGGAATCGTTGATTGTAATACATCCTTAGCTCACGAGACGACTCTACCTCGCGGAACCGTCCTCATTGACGGGCATGCTCGCCCGAGGTTTCGCCCCGTCCGTCGCCCCGCTCACGCGCTCAAAACGTCGCGCGCACGCGCGCGCGCGCATCGTGCGTACTCGGGCATTCTCGCTAGTCCCAAAGACGCCCAAAGATGCCATCGCGCGTCACCGCGCCGTTCTCCTGCCTCTCTTCACCCTCGGTGCCGCTCTGCACGCGCCTGATCTCCTCGGCCGGGGAATCGTTTCGCACGCGTGCGATGCTACGTCGTTCGCGACGTTGACGCCGTTCGGTCGAGGCGTGACGGCGCTGTGGGTGTTCGGAGGCGGCGCAACGGCGGCGGCGCTCGCGAGCGGGACGGTCTGGGCGGACGTCGGCGTGTTGACGATTGCGTTGGTAGAGATCGCGAGTGGGACGGCGTTCAGTGAAGCTATCGCACCGGTGGAAATGCCGACTCCGATTGTCATCGCGCAGTGCGTCAACGTGGCCGCAGTCGTCGGTTTCAGGTCGTGGGAGCGGGTAGAGGCGGACTCGACGGGCGCGGAGGCGAGGTGATCGCGTCTTGGCGCGTGTTGGACGCACCATTATCGATAGCGGTGCTCAATGATTGATTATTGTAAGTTTGTATTACGTTTGCAACTCGTCAGCGCTCGACGCGATCGCGTCGGGCCCGTTTATTCGTGAAGCAGTTGACTCGCTCTCGCGTTCCGTTCCGGCTTTGTTTAGCGCTGGCCGGACTTCGCAATGGTCACCTTCTTGGAGCAGGCACCAGATTGGGAGCCAACGGCTTCGATGGCCTTGACGACGTCCATGCCCTTGGTCACGGAGCCGAAGACGGTGTGCTTACCGTCGAGCCAGCCCGTGGTGGCCGTGCACAAGAAGAACTGAGAGCCGTTCGTGTTCGGGCCCGCGTTCGCCATGGACAAGATGCCCGGGCCGGTGTGCTTGAGCGTGAAGTTCTCATCCGGGAACTTGTGGCCGTAGATGGACTTGCCACCCGTGCCGTTGTGGTTGGTGAAGTCGCCGCCTTGGCACATGAAGCCCGGGATGACGCGGTGGAAAGAGGAGCCGGCGAAGCCAAAGCCGGGTTCGCCCGTGCACAGCTGACGGAAGTTTTCTGCGTCACCATTAAATCATCGCCATCGTCAGTCTCTCAACCTTCCCCGCTCGCTTTCCATCGAGCGCGTCCACGAATCCACCCCGCGCGCGTTCCATTCCAAAAAGTCAACCGATCGTCTCGAGTGTCGTGATTCCCCCGATCGCAATCGTCCCAATCTTTCCCGTCTCGCGTCCGTTTCACCCCCTCGTCGCCCACGCGCGCGTTCGCGCGACGTACCCGCAGTCTTCGGAACGACGTCCGCTCGGAGCTATCGCGCGTGCGAGGCGTGCGCGTCGTCAGTCGTCGCTCGATGGGTTCGATCTCGAAAAAGCGATCGCATCGCCGGCGCTCGCTCTCGCGCTCTCGCGTCGCGCGCGCGCTCGCTCTCGCGCGCGCTCGCGCCTCGCGCGCGCGGACGCACCGTCATCTCGATCGTTCCCGCGGGTTGACCGCCGATCTCGATGTCAAAGAACACGACTGGGTTGGACATGATTGATCGCTCGCGTGCCGGAAAATGTGGTTCCTGGGCGGGCGCGCGCGAGGTCGGGAGACGACGCGGAGACGACGCCGATGCGCGCGTGGAGACGGGCGCGATCGTACGATGCGATCGGTGTGCGCTACGTGAATGATGATGGCTATTAATGAGACGTCCGAGCGTCCGCGTCGAGGTTGATTTTTCTCGAGACGGCGCGACGGACGCGCGAGCCGCCAAGACGGAGGCGCTCGGGCGCGCCGTTAACCCGTGATCTTGACCTCGGGTTTTAATATGATCTTGAGCTGGTCGTAGACGACGAACGCGATGGCGATGCTCGGCATGATTTTGACGTAGTTGGCGCTCAAGCCGTGGAAGAGGGCGGTGACACCCTCCTCGGCGACGGTTTTGCGGAAGCAATCCAACATGCCCGTGTACACCGGTCCCTTGGCGACGCCCGCCTGGGCCCAGCCCGACACTTGTAAGCGGCGGCGACAGACGTCGAACGGATACGCCACGGTCTGCCCAACCGCACCGGCGATCCCGCCGCACACTAAGCCGCTGAGCACGCTCAATTCGGCGGCGGAGTTCAGACCCTGAAATTTCACCGTCTGGTCCTTGAGCGTCTCGTAGATTGCAAAGTTCAGCCCGACGTACGGGATGACGCCGATGACGGACGGCAGCCATCCCTTGTAGAACGCTCCTATTCCTTCCCTTTGCGCGATAACGGTAGCCGCGTGATAAATACCCCTATAATTCTCCCCCCCACCCTTTTGCACGGTTAAACGTCCTCGAATCATATCGAGCGGGTACGTCGCCGACATCGCGACGATCCCCGCGCCCGCGCCGCCCCCCAGACGCGTCAACACGTCCATCTCCGCGTTCTGATCGAACGTTCGTCTCAATTCCAACAAACCGTGCGCCATGTGTTCGTAACAAAAGAACTTCACCGCGCTATTCGGCACGATGCGCACGCAGTTCGCCCCGTTCCCTTTAAACAAACCTCTCATCCCCTCCGTCTTCCACATGTGCGCCATGCCGGAGACGACCCCGTTATACGCCCCGTTCGACGACACCTACGCATCGAGCACCTCTCGTCAGTCATCCACACCGCGTCGTCGTCGTCGTCGTCGTCGTCGTCGTCCACCGTTCGTCTCCGTCGTCGTCCGTCGTCCGTCGTCCGCCGCACCTGTTGCAAAATCTTCAACCGCTCCAACGGCGCCACCGCCGTTCTCGACCTGCGCGCGCGCGAGCGATCGACGCGCGCGGTCAGTCATCCACCCGCCCCGGCGCGTCTACTCCCGCGTCGCCGTCGCGACCCCGCGCGCGGTCGCGTCCATCCGTCCCCATCCGTCGTCATCGCCCATCATTCGCGTCCGCGCGCACGCACACCCCGCCCGCGACGCCGCCCGCGAGGAGCGACGTCGCGATCGCCATCGGGGTCAGCCCCGGGGCGGTCCGCGGCGGCGTCGACGCCTCGGTCGTCGTCGCGGTCGGCATCGCTCTCGCGCGCGGGCGATCAGTGCGGGACGCGCGCGGCGAGCTCGCGCCCTCGCGCGTGGCCCCGACCGCGCGCGCGCGCGAGAGAGATGCGCGGGACCACGGGCGCGCGCTTGGGGTCGGTCGATGGGGCGCGCGCGCGCGTCCAGCGCGTGACGCGCGCGGAAGGGACGACCGGGACGAACGCGCGTGGGTCCGCCGACGACGCCCCGCGACGGATCACGCGTAAGGTGAACGGCGTGAGCGTGTCGACGCAGATACGGATGGTGCGACGAACGCGCGAGCGCGAGTCCGGGGGCGCGGGCGGGGGTGGCGGGGCGGGGACGCGCGGGCGGACGACGGACAAGGCGGAGGGCGCGGCGTTTCGCCCGGCGCGGGACGGGGCGTACGAGGCTGAGCTGCGGCGACGACGGGGGGAGGCGCGTGCGGAGGCGAGGCGGGTGGGGGAGTTGGAGGCGTACGGTGGCGTCGGAACGGCGCCCGTGCTGTTGATCGATGGGTACAACGTGTGCGGGCTGGGGGAGGATGGCGTCGAGGCGGCGAGCGAGGCGTTCGCGAAGGGAGACATGGACGCCGCGCGCGTTGCGCTCACGAACGCGGTGGTTGATTTCAAGAGTTTTAGTGGGTACAGGGTCGTGTTGGTCTGGGACGCCGATCGGACGAAGGATAAGGATGAGGACGAGATCGAGGGCGACTTGGACGCGGATGGATTTCAGGTCGTGTACAGCGTGAAGAACGACGCCGATTCTTGGATCGAAGCGCGCGTGGCGAAGGAAAAGGAGATTGATGAAAATAAGGCGGTGTACGTGGCGACCTCGGACGGGGCGCTGAGCTCGATCGCGCGAGGGAGCGGGGCGTACGTCATCACGGCGAAAGCCTTCGTGGAGGAGCTTCGGCGGGCGACGTCCGAGGAGCGCGAGATCCTTGAAGACGTCGCCATCGCGGCGAGATGGAACAGCTCGAAGAAAATGAGTAAAATCGGGGTCAAGGGCGATGACGTCAAGCGAAAGCTCTTGGAGATGTATAAAACCGCGCCGAGCATGGAGCTGCCGGTAAATGCGCCGAGGGGCGATTTCAAGCGCCAATCCGAAGCCTCAAAGAGCACCAAGCAAGCGCCCAAGGCTCCGAAGTGGGCTGAAATGCGCGCTCAGCGCCGCCAGAGCGACGATTCTTTCTAGCAAATCTCGAGTTGATGACGATGTAGACGATACGACGACCGCTTTACGCCGTCGCGCCGCGCCCACCCTCCGCAGACCATCGCGCGCGTTCGCGTCGTCGTCCACCCGAGCGCCGCGCGCGCGAAATGCGCGCCTCGGTCCTCCCCCGCGCGTCTCCGAACGCCGCGCGCGCGCCTTTCGCGCGCGCCGACGCTCGGCTTCAGAGCGCGCGCAGCCGCCGGCCCGTTCGAAGCGCTCGCGCTCGCGCCGTGGCCTCGGACGCCCCAGCGCAGCCGTCGAGCGGGCGGTTGAAGAGCTTCGCCACGCTCCCGAACGTCCCGGCCGAGCGCGTGCGTTGGGTGGACGACGTCGAGGGACTGCGCGCGGCGACGGACGCGGTGCGCGCGCTCGGCGGCTCGGGCGAGGCGTCCACGAGCGCTCGCGCGCCGCCGTGCATCGGACTAGACGCGGAATGGCGACCGGGCGATAACACCCCGGTGGCGCTGTTGCAAATCGCGACGCGAGGGGAGGTGTTCTTGGTGGATTTATTGGCGACGGCGCCGCGGAGCGCGGGCGAGGCGTTGAACGACGCTACGGATGAGCTCTTGCAAGCCGTGTTGTGGAGCGAAGACGTCTACAAGCTCGGATTTAGTTTCGCTTACGATATCAAACGGATGAAAGCCTCGTACTCGCATCTCAAGGTGTGGTCGGAGAGAAGCAAGAACCTGGTGGATGTGAAGCAGTTGGCGTTCGCGTCGAGTCCAAGCAAAATGTCGCTTCGCTGTGGATTAGCCGTGCTAACTCGCCAGGTCACCGGTTTTACGCTCGATAAGAAGGAGCAGTGTAGTGACTGGGGGAAGCGTCCGCTCACCGAGGGACAGATCGCGTACGCTGCGGCGGATGGCCACAGCTTGTGCCTCATTTTTGACAAGTGCCTCGAGATGATATTAGACGAGGCTGAGATTCCTCGTGTGCTTCGAGAGGTAATAGATCTCGGTGAGCCCTTGCGAGGTCTTCCAAGAACGGTGAAGAAAATCCGAGTCAAGGCTCAAAAGAACGCGAAAAAAGCTGCGAAGCGAGGAGGTCAAGGGAAAATGTGTCAGTTTGCGCGAGAAACTCCCATCGAGAAGGCAACCGCGGACGTCGTGAACTCACTGGACAGCGTCGGGATGACGCTGAGTGGCGGACGAAAGGGTGCCGTAGAATTGCTCTCTCCGGACGTTCCGATTCGATCGAAAAACGACGGTCGGAACGTGGACACGTGGGCGAACGCTGTGTCGGTATTCATTTCTGTCGGCAAGCCACAGACAAAGGGACCAACATCATTCTGGGAAAAGGATGGCGAATTGTACATGAAATGGGACGGTAGATCCGCGGGAGCGCTCGAGGACGACGTCGAACGTGTGCGTCGATCGAAATCAGCGGAGTTCACGGGAGAGTCAAGCGGGCCAGCGTCGACTGATAACGCGCTCCTCTTCATGCGACGACCTCCGGGTCAGTTTGTCTTTTGCGGCCGTCTCGAGGCGCTCAAGGGAGATGATTCCTCCGGTGAATCCCCTGTGTTGACTCGTTTGGCCGATGCCGAACGCTTACGCGCGAGTGACACCTATTTTCAGCTCATCGGTTGCAGGCTCTCCGAGCGGGCGGAGTAGCGCCGAAATGTAAAATTTTTCACTAGAGAGATTCTTTATAGTGCGAGGCGAAGGTTGTTTGAGTTGTAAGTTCAAGAATCACAAACTTTCTAAAAAGTTCGATCGTCTAATCTCGAACCGCTTACGTGGAACGCTTGTAGACGCGAGCGGCACCGACGAAGAGTTGCTCCGCCGGCTTCGCGGCCATCGGGCCGTGGTTGTCGACAACCTTCACGTTGACACCATCCGGAACGAGGCGGCCTTGTTCCTTCCACTTCATGTAGTCTTCGCGAGTGTACTTGGTGAAACCCCAGTTCTTAGACTTCACAATCTTTTGGCGACCCGGGAACTTGTGCTTGGCGCGGCGGAACGCCTCGACGGCCTTGTCCGCGTGCACATCCTTCGTACGAATGGACAACATGATTTGGCCAATCGACACCCGCGCGGCAACACCCTGCGCGGCACCGTACGCACCACGCATACCCGTTTGCAAGCGATCCGCCCCGGCGCAAGACAACATCTTGTTGATGCGCAGAACGTGGAACGGGTGCAAGCGCACGCGAAGGTGGAAGCCTTCCTTACCAGCCTTGGTCACCATGTACTTGTTCGCCGCAATACGGCCGGCTTCCATCGCCTCGGAGCCGATTTGTTCCTTCTCGAAACTGTGATGGGTGCGAAATAACGATAGCGTTCCATCGTCAGTCTCTCGATCGCCATACAAAAGTCGCGTCGCGCGTGAAAGTCGTGTGAAGACTCGCACGAGCGGTAGGGTCACGCGAACCACCATCGCGCACTCATCACTCGCTCTTAACCTACCTCACGAGGTGCACGCACGCCGGGAACGCGTCGCAGTTGTACTTCTTCATACCCGCATCGTAGATGCGAATCTTCGGGTCTGTAAATGGATCGCACGTCACGGGGCGCGCGTCGTCAGTCCACAGTCCATCATCGCGTTTTAGGGTTATTCGCGCGCGTCCGCTCCCTCGCGTTGTCGCTCGCTCGCACGCACCAGGCACGCCCCGGCAGTACCGAGACTTCGGGTACGGCTTATTCTTAATAACGCGGTAGCATTTCGCCGGACCTAGTGATCGTCGAGCGACGCGTTCGACGTCAGTCGTCTCGCTCGCGAGCAGATCGCCGCGCGCCACGCCTCGAACCTCCGCGCGCGTCGTCCCTCCGCGCGCTTCCGCGCTTGCGCGCGCCACCGTCGCGCGTCACGCGCGCGCGAGATCGCTCGATCGCTCCACGCACGTCTCGCCATGGCCCCAACGTCTCGCGCGTCGCAAAGAGACGGACGACGCGCGGGAGACGCGGGCGTCGCCCGCGCGAGGCCCTCGGCGCGGGGGTCGTCTCAACGCGTCAAACGCGGGTCTTTTTGACACGCCGACGACGCGCGTCCGTGTTTGTGAATATCGGACCCTCGGCGCGTAGTATGTACGTAATGCATCAAGATGTGATACGTTAAATGCTCCGTCGCCCGAGCGCCCCGCGCGCGTCGCCCGAGCGATCGGGCCACACCTCGACGATGGGCCTCGCGGTGTCTCGCATGGAGGCCGCCGCGGGCTCGATGCCCCCGATCACGGATGCCGAGGGCGATGCCGCGGCGGAGGCGGCGGCGAACGCGGCGAAGGACTCGAAACCGACCACGGGGACGGTGAACTACAACGATTTGCCCTGCCCGGTGAAGTACGAGGAGATGCAGCGTGAGGTGATGATGTCGCTGAAGGCGGACCTGTTCGAGGGCGCTCGGTTCGATTATAACAAACAGTTGAACCAAAAGTTCTTTTTAAGCCACGGTTTCTTCCTCGGGAACGTGGAGGTGCCGGCGCAGGGCGGACAGATTATTAAGATTCCGACGTCGACGTACGAGTTCGGGGCGAACGTGGTGGATCAGCATTACATGCTCGTGGGGCGGGTTTTGACGGATGGGAGGGTGAACGGGAGGATTAAGTACGACTTGAGCGATTGGCTGTCGGTGAAGCTGCAGTCGACCAAGGAGACGGGGTTCTCGCAGGTCATGTTCGACGCTGACTTCAAGGGTTTGGATTACCAGGCGCAGCTCAAGTACGGGAGTGGACAGTTCTACGGGGTGAACTACTTGCAGAGCGTCACGCCGACGCTCTCCTTGGGTGGTGAGGGCTTTTACTTGGGGAGTCAGGGCAAATCCGGTGTTGGCTTCGCGGCGAGATACGCCGATGATAAAACCGTTGCCACCGGGCAAATTGCGACCACCGGTTTGCTCTCGCTCACATATTGCACCAAAGTAAGCGAAAAGGCGATGCTCGCAAGCGATTTCTTGTGGAACTGGAACCAACGTAACGCCACCGCGAGCGTGGGGTACGACTACATCTTGCGCCAGTGCCGCATTCGCGGTCGCATTGACAACCACGGCGTCGTGTCCACCTACCTCGAGGAGCGCCTCAACGTCGGTTTGAACCTCATTCTCTCCGCCGAAGTTGATCACGCGAACAAAAACCACAAGTTTGGTTTCGGCATGACCGTGGGGGAATAGACCATAGTTGTAATACACGCATCATGCGAAGTCACGCGGTTCATCACGCGCTTCAAAAATACAGCACATTTGTTCCACAGAGGTGTCGATGTGAACGGCGCCCGTCGGACCGAGTTTTCAGACGTTTCGCCGCCGCCCGCTTCGGCGCGCACGTCACGAACGCGACGCTTGACACAAGCCGTCAAGCGTTCAGGAGCTCGTCCGAAGCACAGTGTCAAAAAGTTGCGGTCGATGATATCTCTACGTGCGCGCATAATCAAAAGCTTGAATGTGATTAAAAGACACATCTGTGAGACTGGTTTGTATTTGACAAGTTGATAATTAGCAACTCACGCCTCGAAGAGATGCGCTCATCTCGGCGGCAAGATGGAACGTGATCGCGCCCGTGCCGTAACCTCCGTCGTCGTAGCCCTCGGCAATGTTCGCTTTGCTCGTACTTTTCGACATCTGTTCGCTCAAGTCGTACGCAAGAGGATCAAAAGTGCTGGGGTCATCCGGATCGTAGCTTCTCACAATATAACGCGCTTCAATTGCTCTGGCGTACACGCCTCCGTCAGTACCCACTGTGACTTCGATACGTTGCCCCTTGAAATAACCATCCATGGTAAGGATGAGCCACTGCTTGATATTCTTTGTGGGTCCGTTGTAATCGTCCCAGTGTTTTGGATTCACTGGCACAGCGTTGGCAAACATGCAGTTCTTTTGGTTAATCCAAGAGCCGCAAATGGTGCCACTGCGCAAGATGACGCGGCGAACGTCGAGATCTTCTCCCCACGTCCCGGGAGCCAGTAGTTGCTTCGGAACCGATGGACTGAGAGGGCGTTCGTCGAGCGAAACTGTGAATTGTTGCGGCGGCGCATCGCCGAGATCGAGCTTTGTGTATTCGATTCGCATGACTCGATAGTCGCCTCCACTATTTGGACTCGACTGGTCCCAAAAGGATGGGAGAGGGTAACGGGCGACGTCACAGTACTGCTTCATGCAACCGGCCGATGGTTCGTTCCAGTCTTCATACGCGTAACCGGCATTTCGTCGAAGGGTATACTTTCGCGTCTCAAGCCGCCAAACTTTGCCAGTACCTGTGATTTCGTCGCGTTTCACGCGAATCCTTGCCATCTTGACGAGAGTGCGCTCTTTGTCGCTGATGCCGACGATCCAGTCTTGCTGACTCTTGGTGCCCGAGTTGTACCTGACAACGTACGTCCTACCGCCTTGACGGTTCAAAACAGATGTACTCGAAGCATAAAGCAGCGCGGATGCAAAGTTGGCGAGGCGCGCGTCGACCAGCTCACCTATATCGAATGCTTCAGACTCTGTTGAAGGAATGACGTCAGTGAGCGGTTGAACGCAGAACGCAGAGTCCACGTAGTCACTCGGGCACTCGGTAGTACAGTTACCAAAGACGTAAGAAACTGTGTTTGGGTTCTCTTCAGTTGTCAACACCCGGTTGAAATACTCTCCGTAGCGTTGAGTACACGACTCTCTCTGAAGAAGCGTCGGATGGTCTTTGTTCACTTTACCGATTTCCAAAAGCGTGTTCCCATTCGAGTTCTCGAGCTCGAATCCGTATTCCCAGTCAACCTGATCCGTCGTCAGAGTGTAACCGTAAACTCCATCTTCGAGTTCGGCTCGTTGCATGCGGAGCCTTTTATCTTTTTTGAAAAACGAATGACTCCCATAATTGTGTCTGACCAAGTACGCCCCTGCCAGGCTCTCAAACCAGAATTCACCGCCTAGCTTTTTGACGTGGTCGGGCTTACACTGCGTGTAAAGTTTGAAGGTTGTTGGCGTCTTGGCGCCGACGAGTTCATTTTGTCTGGGCGCGCGAGCGAGGAGTTGACCTTTTCTGGGCACCCACGTGTCCTTGTTTCCAAGTTTCGGGCTCGCATACAGAGGAACGCCCAACTGGCTCGCGTTGTTCACAGTCGCCCGCTCATTCGTCTGGGCAAACTCTTGCGGACACGCGTCGCGTCCAGCTTCGAACTCTTGCTTTAAGAAAGCGCTCGATTCGATGGCATCCATCGTCGTCTCTCCCGTGGCGCAAATCAAATCAATCTCTTTGGTGTACATCGCCTTCTCCATGCACGTACACTTGTTCGCGTAGCAAGAGTCCGCCGCCGTGACCGCCCGCAGCTCGTCGCACGTCGGAGCCCGACCGCCCGCCTCCATGCTCAGGTCCATTAACGTCTTCGCCGCGCCGTCGCCCTGCGATCCGCACACCAGCAGGCACTGCGTTTGAAGCACCGCATACTTCGTCGCATCCGACTCGCCTCCTTCCACGCCCACGGCGTTTTCCGCGCCGACGACGCCGAGGCTCGGAAGCGCGCGTCCACCGACGCGCGCGCCAACACCCAAACACGCGTACGTCGCCAAAAACGCCGCCGTCGCCGCCGTCGCCGCCGTCGCCACCGTCGCCGTCGCCGGTCGCCGTCGTCGCAACAGCGGCGTCGACGCGTCCACCGCGTCCGCCATCCCTCGCGCCCCGTCCGCGACGTCGAGCGCGCGCGCGCGTCGCGATGTGGTGGCGCGCGAAGGTCCTGGAAACGGCGAACGGGCGTTCGATGATCGAACGTCGAGCATCGATTCGCCGCGATCGATGTACCTGTCGATGTCGAAAGGTGCGTCACCTGTCGACGCCCCTTTTGACGCGCGCGTCGACGTCCACGTGTGGGCGAACGGTGTACATCCGCGACGCGCGATCGCCCTCGGGACCGTTGACGTCCGCGCGCGCGTCGTCGGCGTCACGGCGAGGCGCCGGGCGCGATGCCTTCGCGCGCGCGCGTCGCGGGCGAGGTCGACGTCGTGGACGCGGACGATTGGATCGTCGTCGCGGACGATCGCTCGATCGCGCGCGGGTGGGGGGCGGCGCTGTTTGAAAAGCAACGACACGGCGCGTCGAGCGAAAGTTCGCATCATCGGCGACTCGATCGCGCGTTGGTTCGCCGTGGATTGGCGAAGACGTCGGGAGAGGCGAAGAAGATGATAACGGAGGGGAGAGTGCTCGTGAGTGGCGTCATGGCGACGCGCGTGGAGCAGAGGGTGGCGTTGGAGGATGTTAGCGTGGAGCGCGGGACGGCGTGACCGTTCGGCGTCGCGCGCGCGCGTCACGGGAGCGTTGGCTCGCGCTCGGTGTGCCTATCTATCACATTTCTTAGCAATTAAACTCGTGTAACTAATACAACTCGCGCGTCCGTGGTGAACGATCGTGGCTAGGATCCCGGAGGTGGTCGTTCAACTGGGCGCCCACCTAACGCGCAGGCGCCTGCGGGAGACGGACGTCAATGTTTCGTTTCCTCAGCGAGTGTGCAATGGTATTCCCGATAACGGTGACGGTGAAAACCATATCCCGGCCCGTTGGGATGACCCCCGGGGGAAGTTTGTCGAGCGGATTTTCGTCCTCGGGCTCTGCGTCGCCACGGAGGACGTCCCCGGCGCGCAGCATGGCTCGCATGCCAGCGATACCCGCCTTGATGCGCGGTGGATGCATATGATCGTCGGGATTTTCTCGCACTAGAGTCAACAAACTGATAGAGTCCTCGAGAGACGGTTGCAGGATCGCGGGCGCGACGTTAGACGCTGGGAGTTGCGTTCCTGTCGATGGTGGGAGCTCGCTCGCTTGAGAGGCAAGCGGTGTCAATTGAAACGTTGTCACCTCGGGCGCGTCCATCATCTTGGGATCCGGTGGTGCCGCTGATTTCTTCCACTTCTCCGTCAGAATGTTGTCCCACTTATCCTTGTCCACTGCGGACAAGAAAGACCTCACAGAGGCAGAGTACATGTCCAACGTAGCACTGCCACTGCTCGAGACAAATATATTTCCATTCTTCCTAAGTCGTTGCTTCGTCAAGATAGATTCGGTTCTGTAGCCGAGGAATATTTCTGGTAGTCGCATGATATGATGCGATGTGAGCGGAATCTTGAACGTCTGCCTCTTCGTCGCTGCCGTCGCCTTCGGTGTCATCTCTTGCGGTTTGCTCACGAATGCCCCGTCACTCGTTGCGCCGTGGTGCATATCGAACGCGTCCATGCCTGCGTCAAAAGCCATATTCGTCATCTGGAAAGCATCATCTAAGAAGGATTCCAAACCCGCATCGAAGTCTCTCTCGACGCTGAGGTAATTCGAACCGTCATCGTCCTCGGCGAGTTGCGAGGCAACGCCGGGAGAGAACATGTCCACGTCCATGGGAACACTGAGCGTCGCCGTACTGGCCACCCTGGTCGACTTCGTCGCCTCTGACGCCGTCTTGAATTTCGCCGGCTTGATGAATCCAGCGCTGGGTGCCAAACCTCGCAGCTTGTTCAACATCCTTCGCGCTTTTTCCAACATGTTTGCCGCGAGCTGATGTATCTCCGTCACCGGCGGGTTGTACCTCAATGCATTTCGAAACATCGTCTCCACGTCCACACAAAACGGATAGAACGCAGCGTAGTGACCGTTCTTTACGTTCGCGCGCAGCGTGGAGAAATCCATCGGTCGAGTGATGATGGAAAAGTACCCCGGCGCAATTTCCTCCGTCACTGGGTACGCGAAGACGTGCGTCTTATCCAATTTTTGCAACTTATTCAGCGCGTCATCCAGCTTCTTCTTCGACGCCGCCGGTTCATCCTTCACCGTTGGCGGATCCATCGACACGTTCTGTCCCCCGACCACGGGCGCGCCGTCGGTCCTCGAATCCTCCTCTCCGCCTCTCGCGCTCGTGGACGGCCGTTCGCCCTCGTCCCTCGCGTTCGCCCCTCCCATCACCATCTGCTCGAAAAATGCCGCTCGCGGCGCCACGCCGCGACTTAACCCAGCGTGTCCGACGCGCTCTCGTCCTACCGTCGTCCCATCTCCCGAAGATCTCGCCTCCCCGCCCGCGCCGCGCTCGCCGCCGTCCCGAACGAGCTCCTCCAGGCGCGCCATCTTCGCGCGCAACTCGGCGATTCGCGCATCCTCCCCCGACCCACTCTCGCTCCGCGCCCGCTTCACCCTCGACTCGTTCTCACCTCGTCCCCCCTCCGCGCGCGTCGTCTTCGCGCTCTCGCTCGTCGTCGTCGTCGGTCGCTTCAGCGTAAACTTCAATCGCAGCGGCGCCGCCGCGCTCCCGCCCCCCACGCGCGCGCCCGCGTTCGTCCCCGCGTTCGGCTCCGCGGGATCCATCGTCGTCGCGCGCGCGCGTCGCGCGATCGACGCGCGCGCGGCGTCGACGTGTGCGGCGCCGCGCGGGGCGCGCGCGAAGGCCTCGGGTTGATTGGATTTCACGAGTCATGACCCGTGGAAGAGCCCCTGTCCATCGCCGCGCGACGTGGCCGCGGCAGTGTCCAGCGCGCCGTCGACGCGCGTCGCCCGTCGTCGCGGATTTCGATCGCGACGCGCGCGGTGAACATCTCGACCGGGGTCGACGTCGATCGCGATCGACGCGAGGGGCGTCGAAAACGCGCGCGCGGGTGGAATCATTCGAATTAATCAAAACAGGACTTGGATTGAAACGCATTCGAATCGGAACGCCGCTCGCGCCGCTCGGTGTGTCGAGGCGCGCGCTACGCGTGATCGTCGTCGGAGAAGATGTCGCGATCGCAATCGGGGCGCGCGGGAGCCGCGAGCGCGCCGCGGATCGCGATGCGGGCGCGGGAGGGGGAGACGAATGTCGTCGTCGTCCGAACGGAGCTCCTCGCCGAGTGCTCTCGGAGGCGATACTTGGCGCTGAGCGAGGGGTTGAAGAGTCGTTTCGCCGGGGTGGACGTGGGCACGAGGGTGCGGTTCAGAAAGCTGTGGCGGCGATTGCTCGTGCACGTGCAGATGGCGATGGCGATGTCCAAGGCGCTCACGAGACTGGAGCTGTTGCGGTCCGTCGACGAAGGCGGACACGGGCTCGATCTCGGTGGCGTCGCGCTCATTGCGATGTACGAGGCGTACGCGAGGCAAATCGATGAAAAATTGAATCGGACGATGCAAGAGTCGCTGCAGCGGGCGATGGAGACCAAGGTGGCAAAGGATGAGGTCATCGCTCGCTCGATGCTCGAACTTGGCGGTGCAGCCGAGGGAACCGCCGAGGGATTCAACTCTATAGCCGTCATGCGCGCCCTGAGAAAACACAATGCATTGAAGCCGAAAAGAAGACAGTTTACGGCTGCGGAGGGGGAGATCGGGGTCGATCACACGCGATTGTTGTTTCTCATTTCGATTTACACGTCGACATCAAACGTGAACGTGTTCCCTAACGTGCAAGAGAATAACGAGCTCTGGGTCAGAAAGACGCAGCTTTTAGTGATACTGTACGAGTGTATTCGTTCGGGCGCTCTCAATTACGATTACGCGCCGATGGCGGAGACCATGGGTGCGAAGCGTGTCTGGCTGAACGTCACTCAAGAAGGCGTCGATGATCTCGATGACATGGTCCAGGCTGGATTGCTCTGCAGCTTGCGAATGAGTTCGAAGAAATACAACACAACCACGGCATACAGGCTAACGAAAGAGGGATACTTGCATCTAAAAGCGAACTTGCGTCGTAAAGACAGGCAGGCAATTGAAGAGGTGGTTTACGCTGAAAAGGCAAATCCATCGCCGAGCAATTTGTACCTCGTTCAGTGGGATGAAAAAGGCAAGGTCTTCAACCTAGTCACCTCGTCCGGTCGATCGAAAGAGAGTCAAGTCACCGAGATAGAAGAGGTGTCGTACGTTTCCTCTCCCTTTATCCCAAGAACGATGCGCCATTGGGGTCGTGAGTGTGTTAGCAATCAAAGCAAGACAGCTACGCTTGCCAAAGCAACGGGTACTATTCGGGATGAGCTGGACGAATTACTCTCGTTGGATAGATTACGTTTGCTCGTAGGCGAATGGATTCCAATGGGTGCTAACCAAGTGCTTAGTCTGAATGAAAAGCTTGGGTCGACCGAACGCATCTCAGGTGGGTATTTCACCAGCGAGATGGACCAAGATCCGAGCAATCCTTGCCTTCAAGGTAAAGTTGACGGTCTTACCAGGGTCAACGTGTTAGATTTCGATGAAACTGCGTATGTTAACTTTGAGGCAGAGGTGTCGTACGAAGAAGAGCCTGGGATTGTTCAGATAGAAAATTTTGGAGTTCACGTCAGTGAAGAAGGATTCTTGGTGTATGGACTGACGGTTGACGGTCTTATGAAGTCGGTGGACGGGGACAACTTGTCGCTCGATAACCTAGCCCGTTTACTTCGTGATGTTGGTAGCGACTCGAGCGAGGTTATTAATAACTTGCTCACCGAACATCAGCAGGCACTGCTAAATTTGACATACATGGGGAGCACGATGGATCGTGAAAAGTTTAACGTCTTCTTCACCAGCAGAATCAACAAGAAGGGTCAGGAAGAAATGTCGATGGCGCACGAATTACTTGACATGGAGGACCAAGAGAACGAAATTCGCCAAATTGTCGGCGAGGTCGAGTGTGGTTTCCAGCTTTCCCGAGACGATGAGATCGTCATAATTGGTTCAACAGGGATGATTCTTTGCTCAAAAGAATGTGAAAAGTTTGAGCCTCTTGTCCTGCAATACATGTCGATGAAGTCGCGCGAGCTGTTCATCCATGCGCTTTATCGAAGAACGTTCGTGATAATTGACAGTTTGCGCGAGATAGAGCAACTCATCCGGGATCACGACGCTGATCCAAACAACATCTTCACAATTCGCTCTCTCATTTCGGATGTCACGGCGGACATCATCTTGATGCGAGAAATCCAGAGCTATTTGCTTGAGTCCCTTACGGATCCGGTCAGTATTAATCTCGAAGGAAAGGCAATGACGAGATTGGCGAAGGTTCTGCAGCTCGATGACACGAACCAGCGTCTGGAGCGACGCATTCGAGACATGCGCAAAAACTTGGACGGAGCGAGTGGGGAGTTGCGTTCTTTGAAGAGCGCAGCCGACGTCATCACGGGCAACAAGGAGTTCAAGGTGAACGAGAACGTTTCCAACAACACGAAGAACCTTGAAGAAGTTTTCCGTGCGAATGAACGAGCCTCAACGTCGCTCGAAATCATGCAAGTTGTCTTGGCTGGTTCTCTTGCGTTCGCAATTTTAGATCGCTTCCACGGCTTGTACATGGGCGTGGCCGGGGACATTGATTGGGCGATTAAAGCCTTCGACTGGTATTTGCAAACCCCAATGGTGATGTTCATCATCAACATGACGTGGTGGTTCATATTGGGCACTCTATTCAAACGAATGATCAAATATGCTGGCGTCAAATCAGCGGGAATCCTATCCATCAGATACACGACCAACTGCAGATTCAATGTCAGGGCGATGCAAGCTTTCTTGCAAATCGCAAAGCCAGAGATGGAGGATAGTGAGTCCGATGTTGGGATGAACCTGAAAAAATTCACTTGGGATGAGACGGATGAGATCAGGTGGAGAGGCCGACCTCCAAAGATTGAGATTATTGTTGACCTTAAAAACAGCTTCTTGCTCAGCGTCTTCATTCAAATCGCCTCGAGGCGGAATAAGTGCACGCATGCTGATGCAAAGAGACAACTCTTTGCACGTCTTCGGGAGTTTGGCCTCATTTCCGGTCACGTTGAAGGTTTAGAGACCAAGAAAGAGGCTGAGTACGTGTATCGTGCGCCGCGTTTCACCAGAGGACAGAAGTGGCAGATGTGGTGGCGTCAACTCATCGAAGAGACTCGCTTCTTTCTCACATGCTGATAACAACTCGCGCGAACTCCGTTGTAACTGGTCTAAATTACATCACCTCCCTTCTTTCGTCGTTCTGCAAACCGCATTCGTCAGCTCGTCGCGTTGCGTCGTCGCTCCTGAGCGCTGTCACCAATAAAGGGTGGCGTGGAGATGCAAATGGGTCGCAGGTACTTCCTTTAAGGGCAGAGAGACCTGACGCCGACCTAGTTGGCCTAAACGTACTATGATGGATTACAGTTTGTTACTACCATCAGCCTAAAACAATTTACTTCTTGCCGCGAAGCATTGCGTCGCGCTCTCGGAGAATTGGATTCTTTGGCTTGACAGATTTCGGTGCACCCGAAGCGCGTTGGAAACTTGGTTTCTTCTTCACGCCACCGCGTTGGGCGTCGAATTCCATGTACGCACCATCGGCACCAGACAACGCAGTCATGGACCCTGCCGTTCGGCGTGCTGCTCCCGCAGGTTTCTGAGCCTTTCGGATAGCGTCCTCGTCGTCCGGAAGAACTTCTTCCCCAGCCTCCGCTTCACCAGCGCTCAGTACCTTCGCGAGGAGATCAAGCTGCTTTTCTTGCGTGGAGTACATGAGCTGCTGTTTATCTTGAGGACCGATCAAGTCGGTCACAACCTTGAACGCATAGCCTTGCTGAATCAAGAACTGCTGCCTCTTTGTGCTATAGTACATCTCAGCAGTATCCGTCGACACAAGAGAGTAAAAGAAAGCGTTATGTTCATCCGCGTTTGTCTTCTTCCCACTCAGCTGCGCCGCCTTTGGACGCAAAATTCGCCCCAAACGCTGAGCCTCCTGTCTGCGACTGCCTGCGTGCGAAGAAATCTGAATGATCACGTTCGCTTCAGGGATATCGATCGAGTTATCACCGACCTTCGACAGGAAGATGGTGTTGATTTCGTTGCTATACTTGAAAGCGTGCAACACCCGAGTACGCTCAGCGTGCGATGTGTCGCCGTAAATCAGAGGGCGCCGCAGCGCAGTGGCGTACTCTCTGAGTGCAAAAATGTTATCGCTGAACACGATGACTTTGTCCTTCCGCTGTTGTTCGTGGAACTGCATCAGGAACTGGCACGCCATGAATTTGTTCGGATTCATGCAGTACAGCACCTGCTTCTTATTGGAGTAATTTGAATCGCAGTATTTGCGGAAGAATTCAGCCGTCATTGGACACCACACCTCAACACATTGAACATTTGCAATGTGCCCGTCACGCTGCAAATCCAACCAGTTCGCTTCGTAAAGCTTTGGCCCGATCAAAAAGTTCAAATGATCCACTTTATCGTCTTCACGCACCAGAGTAGCCGTGAGACCGAGTTTGCAGTGGGCCTTGGTGATGCCAATCACCTTGCGAAACATTGCCGCCGGCACGACGTGAACTTCATCGAGTAGCATACAACCCCACTCACGCGAGCGAATCGCCTCTAAAATACGCTCACTTCCCTCGCTCCGCTTACCACCTGCGCTTACCATGTTATACGTCGTCACGCACACGCACGCCTCGCCGGGCGGCGGGAACTCATCCTTGTTTTGAGAGGTGAATCGAACAATGTTCAAATCCGTCAAATTCGTCCAAAGCTTGAACTGCGCCGACCACTGATCGACGCTGACGCTTGATGTGCACAGACAAAGGCACGATTTGCGTATGCGTGCAGCAGCGGCGATCCCGGTTAAACTCTTACCGGCGCCGCACGGGAGAACGATGATCCCACTTCTAGCGCGTCCGTTCCCGAACATCTTTGACAGCGACTTCTCCTGGTACGGACGAATGCGAGTCATCGGCTTGAGCTCGATGTTCAAGTCGGGATTTCGGGTGTCATTTCTGAAATCGTACTCTTCCAGCGTCGGGTATCCGAGATTGCCAGGCAGGCAGCGCTGCTTCACGTGCTCCACCTGTCTGGCTTCGATCTCAAAACTATGCATTTGCCTATCCGGATCGTACTCCGGGAGGAATTCTTGCTGATATTTCGCGTCCAAACCATCTGCCGGCACGTCTACTCCGGCGGTGTCGTCGTCCTGTCCCTCCTCCGTGATGTCCACCAACTTTTGAGCGCCCTTCTCCTTGAGCGCGTGCGACACGTGAAACGAGGCGTTCCCCGACCCAGCCACTCGAGCCGCGCGAATGACGTCGTCTTGGAGGAGCTCTTGCAAGATTTTCGGATCGTTTGACTCCAAGTAGAACTTGTTGCGCTGTAAAACGAGCTTAACCTTACCGTAGTTTTCAGTGCACTGATGCACAAAGTCGTGAATCTCCTCGCTCAGGTGCGTCTTACTGAGCCGATCCAAAACTGACAAAATGGTCGACGTCTCCAGCCCCACAGACACCGCGGCGTACAAGGAGTGCGGTGTGAGCACGTATTCGTGCATGTTTGCCGGTCTGCACACCGGTTCCGCGACGGAGATCAAAAAATCGTACGCCGCCTTGTACACCGGCGAAAACGATTCCAAGAAGATCCTCCCGTCGTCGCACACCCACAGCGGCCGATTCGCGTGATCGGGCTTGAGCTCGAGCGCGCTGAAATCATTATCCCCGAACCCATCCCCCCCGCCCCACAGCGCGTCCTCCAAGTCACTGTCGCTCTCGCTCGGGCCGTAATCGTTCAGCTCGGCGTCCTCGTTCAAAAAGCTCACTCGCGGCGCACGTTCGCTCTTCACGCGCATCTTCACCGAGAGCTTCACCCGCCCCCCCCCCATCGCGACGTCATCGTCATCCGCCGCGTCGTCCTCCGTCGCCCTCGAAATCGCCGTCTCCGTCGTCGTCGGTCGTCGCTTCAGCGTACACGTGAGCCCCCGCCCGCCCCCCGTGGACGTCTTCGCCGCCTTCCCAGGCCTCGCCGCGGCCCCGTCCTCGCTCGCGGGCGACCGCGCGCGCGCGGGCGGGGCCATGCGTCGAAGACGCGCGCGTCGCGCGCACGCGGCGTCGCGCGCGGGGCGATCGAACGTGGCGTCGCGCGCGCGCGGGTCGATCGTACCTTTCGATCGCGCCTTTCGATCGCGCGTTTTCGAAAGGCGCGGTGGTTTCAACGGAAAATTCGAAAGGCGCGGTGGTGCGACGGACGCGGCGACGTGGTGGGACATCGCGACGCGGCATGGGCGAGGACGAGACGGCGCGCAAGCGCGCGAGGCTCGCCGCGCGCTTCGGGGATGAAAACGCGCTCGAGAGTGGATTCGGGGGGGGGGCGACGGCGTCGAGCGCGCGGGGGGGGGCGAAGCACGGGGAGGATGGGCGCGATGTGGGGTGTGGGATTTCAAAATCTGCATCTGTCGCGACGCCGAAAGTCGTGACGACGACGACGACGGTGGAGGCGCCGTTGTCGTACGTGTGCGAGGCGCAGGATGCTTTACGGTTTCATATGTGGCGCTCGGGCGAGGCGTACGCGGCGAAGGAGGCGGAGGACGCGGGTGAAGACGCGTTTGAGCCCGAGTTCACGCATCAGGTGTTTCGAGAGGACGAGAGCGTGTTCGGATACGCCGGATTACGCGTGAACGTCCACGTTTCTAGGACCTCGCTAAAGGCAATGCTTCGAATGACGTACACGGATAAGATTAAGAGCGCGATGAATCCGGCCGATCCGGTGGAGGAACAGTTGCGGGAGTGGTTTGACTCGGATGGTTTGTGCGAGCTGTACACGGATGAGGAGCGATTTAAGGCGGAGGCGGAGATGGCGGAACCGTGCTCGGGCGGTGTGGTCGTGAGCGAAAGTGAGAGCAAGGGTGTGGTGACTAAGATCACCGCGTACGAGTTGGCGACGAACGAAGAGGCTAGAAAGTGGCACGCCGCAATGGAGGCGTACGCGGTGTTCTTCATCGATGCCGCGAGTAAGATTGACAACGAAGATCCGCGTTGGACTTTGCTCGTTGCGACGCGACATCACGCGGACGGACGTTGGGAGACCGCGGGTTTCACTACTGTGTACCGCTTTTACGCCTATCCCGAGTCCGAACGGGCGAGATTGAGCCAGATTTTGGTGCTTCCGCCGTACCAACGTCAGGGGCTCGGCGGAAAGATGCTCGAGGCTGTTCGTAAGATCGCCATCGATCGTGAGATGCGCGATCTGACCGTTGAAGACCCCACTGATCAGTTGCAGCGTCTACGGGACGTGCATGATGTCAAGGCGTGCCTGCAGGATTCGGACATAATGGCAGCGGTTACGGGCGCGGCATCGTCCGCCGCGCGCGCGCCCACGGCGGACGCAAGAAGGATCGCGCTGT